ATCCCAGGAGTCTTTAGATATTGAATAATGCAGCTAACTGAGGAAAAAACAAAGCCACTCCACATTCAGGTGATATAATACATCAGCTTATTCCTCTTACTTATGAAATAAACTGATATTATTATTAAACATGCCATATTTCTTTTACCATGGTTGTCTGCATCATCCAATATTGAGAGACTACTGGGATCTGTTTTTATTTCACCTTAATGGTTTCTTTCTTCTTCTTTTCGCTCGTGACCCTCAAAGGATAATTGGTATGGATAACGGATGGATGGAAATTACATATTTTATAAATCCAGAGCAGTTGCATCACCAAAAATAAAATGAAATGTTATTGTCTTCACAGCCATGAGCAAAGACAGTTTAATGGTCAGTCGAATGACGTCTGTATCAATCCCACCAGCGTAATGTCTTACGTGGATGCATTATAGGTGGGAAGCTATATAAAATTGACCTGAGGACAATCACAAGGCAATTAACTCAACCTATTTCCTGTCTGTCTTTGTACTTCAATCTTAGAAAGAAGGTGCACGAGCACTCAGCTGGAAATGATCCATTCTGTAAATCCCTAATGTCATACAGCTCATTTATCAATTTCATCTGGTGTGCAGCTGCTCACTTTAACTCCCTGAGAAATCCTGAAAGCACAGTAATCGCAGTGATGAAACATGTTATTTGCAGTTGTCTGTTTCATTTGGAGACTAAAACATCCTCAGTAAATGCAACCCACTGTTAAACAATTACAACCAAACCAAATCAGACCTTACTCCTTGGTGAAACAATTCTGTATCACAGCGAGTTTAATTTCTTACAAACAAGTTGCTCACATCAAACAATATTCCTTCATTAAATCATATGCAATTTTAAGGATGATTTCCAGAATCACCCGACTGTCAGGAGAGCTGTTAAATGAACTGTCTGACATGGTAATTGTGGGTAAGAACATGAAAACAAACAATATGGAGCTTCTGTGGGGAACTCAACTGACAACTGCTCAGAGTGAAAGTGCAGTTATGAACCACTGGATCTCAATGTGTATTGTAATGAAACAGGATTATTGATGGAAATTGAATAAATACACAGAACTGATTCACACAAATTGAATAAATACACAGAACTGATTGAAAAATATAGTCAGGTAGAAAATATATAAAGACCCAAATCAGGGCCAATTACTTAAAAATACAATCTCAAACTGAAACAAAACCCCTCAAATATCATCACATTCATGAAAGTGAAAATTTTAAATAAATAACTCTTTGGAATTATTGGAATTGAAAGATTCAGGTTTCAAAATTTCGTTTTTTGAATTACATTTTATTTTTTAGATTAACAAAACAATGGGATCGGATTTGGCTCCATGAAACATTGAAATTAAAACTGAACAACTCACAAAGTCACCTGGTAGTGGCTCCAGCCCTTGACCCCCATAATCCTCGAAGGATACAGGGTATAGAAAAAGGATGGATTAATTTTACTGAACCTGTTAAAAGTTGTATTAGCTTCTCAAATCTTAATAAGGCTGCTGTCTTCGACTAAGATATATTGATTAACATTTGCCAAGAACCTTTAGTTCAAGGAAAGACAGTTTTTCAAAAATTAAATAACGATTTCCATCCATCCATTAGGTAAAACACTTTGAGGGTCCCAGGGGGGCTGGAGGTAATCCCAGCTGACATTCAATATACAGAGTATCTAATTAACCTGCATGTTTTCAGACTGTGGGAAGAATTATCTCTTACAGAAAGGATTTGGGCATTTCAGCAGGCTCAAACCAAGAACCTTCTTGGTGCTTAGTTTTTGCCATTGTCTGACAAAAACAAAACTTTATTGTGTATCTTTATTACAGCTCTTTAGCAGTAATTGTGGCAACCAAGGTTGTCGCAAAGACCTTATACGTGTCGTACAGAGATACAGAAGCTGCCGATGGAGCCATAACAAACAGCTAGTGTCTCAGGGCGTCATTGTCAAGTTGTTACACAAGTGTCCTCTAAGTGGAACATCCTGGTCTAGGTATAGATACAGATATAGATATTGATCAGCAGATTCAGGGTGGCGTTATGTGTTATGTGAACTAGATTCCTCAGCTCTCTTCTCATCACTGAACTGAGCATCAATAAATGCTTCTGCTTAAGACACAATGGTCTCCTGACAATTCCTTCGAGCTCTTCACAAGATTTCCATCACACCTTCTGTCACTGCTAATAAGAACTGTTGGGGAAGTGCACCACATGCTTAATATCACACAGTGAAAAGTTGTAATGAGCTCTTTCTTGGAGAAATGAAATGTGAAATCTTTTCACCTTTCACCATGGCTTTGTGCCAAGACACTTGGCTCATGGTCAGCTTACATTTTGAGTTTAGTTTGTAATCATTTGCAATTATTAAATTGTCTGTCCCTAACAAAGTGAATGTATTAAGTTTAGACATTTATTATCTGAAGTTCATCTAAGATGTTTGGTTGTTGGAGAAAAAAGCTTGTACCGATCTGGAGGCCTGAGGTTCATTATGTTTCATTGCTTCTACTTATGGAGTTTTCAGCAGCCCACATGTTTCTCAGCATAACATTCAGTATATGATGGCTTTCATTGCACATTTTTATCTTATTCAAAATGATCAGCAAGTGTAATGAGATTAAAATATATATTATATATTAAATTGTTTTCATAAAGATATTAACTAAATGACAAGCTGGCTCCGATCCCACATGCACATTTATATTCTCATAATTTTTAAGTGGAATATCCATTCTGTGCGATGACTTATAAGTAACCAGTATTTATTAGTCTCGTAATTATTGTTTGTGTCAGACTTTTAATACATTTGCATTGTCTGTCCCTCTTATTTCATTCCTTCTCTCATGCATAATGCCAACAAATGCAAAGAAAGATAAGTGAATTGTAAAATAAACAAAGTTCAGCAAACACTAGTGGCTCATGGGTAGGAAACTGGTGGCTACATTAGTGACTTCTAGTGATTGCATGAGGTCCCTGCACAACGGAGGCTGGAATTGAAAAACACCATGTAGTATGTGACCAAATCCCCACACAATGTACTCCTGACAAAAGAGAAGAATCACCTGCAGGAGTTGGGTGCATGAGTCATGGAGGTTGCATGTCTGTATGGAACATCCCCGTCTAGCATATGGACTGCAGAGGCAACGAGCAGAGGATTCTTTAAATGGTGCAAATGGGTTCTGACTTATGTCTGGCGGTGTTTTTGAGTGTTTCAAAGAGTGGGGCCGAATCCCTGCCTGCTGCCAGAGAATAGCACAACAGATGAAAAGGCTTGCACTTTTAGTCTCGCCTCAGCACCGCACTCACAGACAATGGTGGTACACTTAGGCCTGCAGCTTACACAGTGTGCTGTTGGTACATGACAGGAGGGTGGCATGTTTTGATCTAAACTAATTCTGTCCTATTTTTCCATTTGAGGTGAAACATCCTCTTTGGGGAAGCTCACACTGTTTTCTTCATCTCTCTTTTTCTAACCTGGTTTTCAAGTAACATATTTTTGTTGCTCCCCTTATCCCCTAATATTTCAGAAAGAGAGCAGCTCAAACCATTCAGAACATGTTGAGCGAAGAAAAAAGAGCAGAACCTGGCTCCTGTTTCTGCAGCAGCACAGTATGACATTCAGCAAGAGGATCATACTGGTAAATTATTGTGAATGCTGGGTCAATGTTTGACTCAAACTGAGCTTTAGTCTGTTGTTGCCTGTGCTCATTCAGCATGGGATGAGAGCCTTGTGTCCTCTGTGTTTAAAGAGTCTCGCAGTAGTAGAGAAAAAGGCTTTTTAGAATTCAAAGCCCGAACAAATCTCTATAAAGTTGTATTGCCTTTTATTTGTTCTTGTTCTGTTTCCAAACCTGACCTACAACATGGCCAATACCTCTGTGACCAAAGTTGCATTTACTGTATAACGATTTAAATGTCTAGGTGGAAAAACATGCAGCCACTGTAAAGCCAATATTCTACAAACCGCACAGTAATTGCAGCCTGTAATATGTTGATGATTATGATAGACCTTCTCACAGCAGGTATGTACAAGCTGCTTTCAAATTAATCAAATAATTACCCTGCTGTCAGAAAAAGGTTTTGGGGGGAAATGAAAGTAGATGAAAAGAAATGAAGGTTCAATTACAGGAGGCACACACACACAGTTGTCTCCTTATAGTTGTGACGATACTCATAGGTATAATGAATTCCCTGGCTCCTTTCCCTAACCTTAATATCAAAACTAAATACCTAAGCCTACTACTAACCTAATTCTAACCCTAACCCTAAAACGAAGTCTTAACCCTCAAACAGCCCTTTGAATTTGTGAGCACCAGCCAAAAGGTCCCCATAAAGTCAGAATGTCAATAATGGTATTAAACCGAAACTGACCCTCATAACAGTAGGTGCACACACACACACACACACACGCACACACACACACACACACACACACACGCACACTCACACACACCCCTGCCATCCCAGTGCCTCATGACGTAACCGTGCTCTTTAAAAGATGCTGGATAACAGAGCGGAGTGCTCTTTACGCAACGCCGTCCCCCTCGCAGGCGTCGCCATCGGATTTACAATTGATCCAAAAAGACGAAGAAGGGACCTGGACATGACAGACATCATGAACACAAAGTAACCCATAAGTCGAGTCATATGGGATGAATAATAAGAGTTTTGTGAGGAAAGAATCTGACGCGCTACCTAGAATTTGGTGAGAAGAGACTCGCAGTGCGTAAAGGTAACAGGTGGCCCAGTGCGAGGTGTTTGTTCGCCTCCGTGTCAGTTATATAGGAAGGAGTCAGCAGCCACATGCTCTCATCAGCACTTGAGGAATGTGCGTATTGTGCGCAGCCGCTCGCGCGTTCCTGAAAATCAGCATGGAGAAAGACTTGAGAAGGAAGCTGCCATCCATAAACTTTGCAGGTGAGCGATGCGAGCGCCTCTAAAGTGCCAAAGCGGCTCCAGGGTGAGGACAAGCTCCGATGAATGGACCGCAGTATGTTTTCTGGTCAGGCTGCTCTGAATTACAGCTTCAACCTGAGCGATGACCAGGAGCTGGTGGACCCGCCGGCGGCCAGAGGGACCCTCTCCCCGACGGGCTTCGTGGTGCTCAGCGTCGTGTTGGGCTTCATCATGACTTTTGGCTTCCTCAACAACTTCGTCGTGTTGCTCCTGTTCTGCAAATTCAAGAAGCTGCGGACACCGGTCAACATGCTGCTGCTCAACATCAGTGTCAGTGACATGCTGGTGTGCGTATTCGGCACCACTCTCAGCTTCGCCTCCAGTATTCGTGGAAAGTGGCTGCTGGGGCGCAGCGGCTGCAGCTGGTACGGCTTCATCAACTCCTGCTTTGGTAGGTTCTTCATATTCTCTCACATCTCAGTCTGAGAAAAACTGTGTCAGCTGATGTGTTCGAGGAGGTAACTGTGAGGTGTGACATGTGCCACCATAATGCGCATTTTCTGCAAATAACACTTTTTAGATCAAATAAACTCAGTGGGATTTTTGCGGTTTTGCACTACTGCCCATAACGGAGGCAGAGCTGTGGTTGCTCAGTTATAATAGCATGTGAAATGTCAACTGTATTTTAATCTATGTTGCGTTGAATCCAGTCTTAATAATAGAAGTCCCCCATTATCATCATCAACCACTCATAATTTCATCATTATAAAACCAGCATATGCTCCATGTTCCAGTATCACTACAGTATCACTGTCTATGACTGATGATGATCGGCCCATCATCATCTGTGTTGTGTCCAGCAGAGGTTGGAAGTCTCTCAATACACAATCTGTTTAATGACTTCACTGTTTCAAAGTTTTAGTTTCCTATTTGTGAAATGAATGTGAGCTCTGGTCACTTTGTTGTGTTGCTTCATGGTCGGAAGACGACCGGAAACAAAAGACAAGTCAAACCAACACATTTAAGATGCTTGATGGTTGAATGACAGCTGTCATGGGCATTCACACAACAAACATAGACATCATATTGAAAAAAATCATATACCCATATACATAACATGTATTTAGTGTATATAACACAAAACATATACAAACAATGTATAGAATAAAATACACACACAATATACACACTACATGGATACACTAGACACACACATCATATTTATGAAATATAGACACACAACATGGAAACACAACAGAAACAAACAGTCACGATATGGGTCCCCGACATGTTTTTGTTGAGATTTATTTTTTAAATAATTGTGCACTACATACACACTGAGCATTATGCCACAGTTGAAAAATGAGATTGTCACTGCTCTCTGGCGGAGAAACTAAGAAATGATTATTTTCTCACTTATCACCTCATCAAACACATCAATATATCTGCAATAACATCGAGTGACATGTCAGCCCAGATGAGTTATTGCTCTAGTTCTACGCTGCACTCTGCACAAAAACACAGAACGGACTGCAGTCTGGTTCAGTGAAGCGACCTCACACTGTCTGTGACTAAATGGTCTGGGTCAAATTTAATTTATATGTCTTGTGTGAATGAACCAGTTTGTGCAAGAGCTGCCTGCATAACTGAAACCCCCTGTGTGCATTAGAATCTCACACAAAGAAACACTTGAATTAATTTATTCAGTCCAGACAGAGGTTTTCAGTGGTTTTCAGTGTCTTTCCCTAAAATGACTGTATAGGAATGTGTAAGCAGTTTATCATGTTGTGTTCCTAGATTCAATCGTCAAGTGGCCTCTAGTGGCTGTATTGATTACAACATCTGCACAGGGAGGAGGTTGGGGGGGCGGATGAATTGTTTGACAAAGTATAAAACGTTTTCATGGAGACGGTTTAATCCTTGTGTCAGCGATGGTCCCAATCGTTTCATTTAACTCTGACCATGGAGGACTTCTTTTTTAATGTTTAATTCATCCACCAGGAGGCGGTGTGATAATGTATGAAACAGATGTAAAGACCTTCATAATGCCTTCATCACATAACCTTTGACCTCAAGATGAAGATGAGAAGAATGATTCGTTGGACGTGCAGAGAGCTTACGTCTTCATCTTTAGGGGTTTCCATCCATTGTTGCTGAGTTGGTGTGGCATGGTTTTGAATGCTGGAGTCGGTGCACGTTAGCCTTGATGCCAGGCTCCAGAAAGGTTGAGCCTTTGTCGGCAGTCTCCAGGTCATTCTGCAGAGTTGCCTTTCCTTTCTGGTTGCCCCCAAGATGGGCTTACGCCTACAACCTCCTCTTCGCCCTCCAGGATAGTTCTGCCTGAAACACTTGCCTCTGGAGGGAACCTTCATGCTCAGGCTCGTGAGGGATCCACATTTGCCGTTAGCCTCCAGAGACATTGTGCTTTCAACCCCTGGCTTGGACACCAACATACTGCTCAATCTCATTCTTTCGCTGTCGCTTCCGCCTTGCTGACACTCTCTGCAGCATCCTTGCCTGTCTGCCTGGTTTCCCTAGACATCCTTCCAAGCAAAACTGAAACTTAATGCCCTGAAGTTTGCTTCTATTTATTCACTTTCTTTGTTTTGCTCTGCCTCACTGGTAAAAAAAAAGTAAGAATTTTTATGTGGGTTATTTCCATTGAATTGAAATACTGAAGTCAGTGGGTTCATTGACTTTTCCCCTCAGGCCTGTCATTCTGTGCTGAAGGCATCTGGTATCACATGGCACATTGAATGCTGGAGATGGTGCATGTTGAGTAATGATTAGTTACCAGGCAGCAATGGCTTATATACAATGAGTATACACCTACAGATATAGCACCGATTTAGCAGATATGAAAGCCGTGGCCTATGAAAAGACGCCACACACACACAATCACACGCACAATCACAAACCACAGTATTTAATTCAGAAACTAAACACTCCCAAGCAATCTTACACCATCTTTCACCAACACTCTGAATCCAGCACATGCACCTTGTTCAGTACATCATGTCCCTCCCAGCAGTGGCCTTATTAAAGGAACATTAAACACTTTCCAATAATGCATGCTTGTTCTTTCATGTGTATGAAAATGGCAGTGCTTTGGTTAAATTGTGAACATATTACTGTCTGACTTATTAGCCCCTATTCGTTTGTTCTATAAATATCCCCACCACCATCTCCGCCCTGTTGTCTCTACGGCTGAGGGGCAGCTTCTATACGTCCTTGCTGGAGCACAAACTCACACATCACATGTATGACCATGATTGATCACCAGTTTTCTCGGGCTGCATGGGGGCCTGGTTTTAAACAAGGATCAATTTTTAAAAAAAAACACTTGGAAAGAATGACATTTACAGTATATTTGAGAGTGCAGCAACATATCAGTCCCAGTGCGTCCTCTAAATGTCCGATTTTCCACCTCAGTGTCATCCCTCATCTTCTCTGTCTATCTGCCACTGGTTTTCTAAGAGAAAAACGATTGTCAGAAACCAACACGATGCAGGATGACTCATGTTAATTTATGGAAGTAATTTACTGTTGCTTTGTTGATGGTTTCTTTGTGCTTCCTTTATTATACAAGAGGAACTTTGTTTTATCCATCAAGAAAGAAGGTTTTGGTTTATACAGAGGAATTTAATCATCACTTATTCACAGGAAATAACAACAAAGCAGATATAATTGAAAATGAAAAAAACAGGACTGCAATGTTGAAATAATATAATAATGTGAGTAATATCATAACATTTGAAGCACCACTACTCTTTTGAGATTAGTTTGTCAATTCACAAAATGACATTATAACCTTGTGACTTTCCCAGAAATGGGTCTGCTTTTGTGTTGATATTCAAGTGTCAGTTGGTTCAGAAGATACAGACGTTTAAAACTGGCAAAGAATTTTCAAATTACACAGTACGTCCAGAGTGGGCTATCAAGCACCATGGTTCCTTTTATATTTTGTTTCTTGTGGGGGAATTAATATCAGGTGTTGGCTCATTATGTTTTAAACATAAACATCAGGATGACATGGACCCCCCTTTTCTAAGGTCAGCCACAGATCTTTGAGGTATAATAAATAGGTTGGTTTTCTTTAAAGTTGTAACCTGTTGGGTTTACTTGACCAGACTGAAGGAGGAAAACAGCTGCTATCAGAGACATCACATCTATTTTCTTTATGTTTTTCATCAGAAGTTGATGTGTTAGGCCAGAGAGACAAATACTATAGCAAGTCTGTCCCATTCTTGTGAACCCCATAACCCAAAAACACCAGAGGGAAGAAATTCTTCAAGAGCATTCAGTTGGACTAAAGGATGAACTGATTAGATTTTGGTGATCAAAGGTCAAAGTCAAGGTGGTCTCACAACTTGGGTGTCTTGAACATGTTATCTCAAGTCTGCAATTAGCGATTTCCACTCAGAGATGAACTGATATGAACTGAACAGATTTCCGTGGTCAAAGGTCTTTAGACTGGAACTGCACTGCTTGGGGGAGACATACAACTGCAGGATGATGAAACTAATTTTCTTAAGGAATTGGTTGATGTAATTTATACAAGGCAGGCAGGCCGTGCTGCCAACAATAAAGGAGTGTTGTTAAATAAATAAATTCTCTCTGGGGGTTTGGAAATTTCCTCACTCAGTGTAGAGCCTAGTGTCTTTGTAAAAGTAAATGGTTTAACCTCACTAAAAATTACACAGACAATAACTATGTGTGCATGTTGTATCTTTATCTTGTTTGTATATTCTTTGTTGAATAAATTGCACAGCACAAAAAAAACTAATTGGTTTATGAACCACAAGCATTATGGGGTTAAATTACAAGAATCCCTTGGGTCTTAAACCAGGAAGGCCATCAGAAATGCAATTAGCTGTGCAGGGTGTCCAAAAACAAATTATCCTCTAATCAGATGATTAAGTAGAGGATGACAAATGTTGTATCTTCATATTTCTCAAAGGTTAAAAGAATGATCAATATATCTAGATTAAATCGATATTAATTCCTGTCAGACAAACTACCATGATTCATGCTGCCTGCAAATGATGATTATCAGTGTGTAATATTATTGGCATTCTGCCTGGTTTCCAGCTGGTGGATGATGTGTTGAAGAAGGCCAAAGCATTGTGAGCTTGAAACACATTACGATATTGAAAATGTGTAAAATCCTATAATCTATTTTTTTAATGCGACTCGAGGTGTTCAGTTCTTCACTGTGGTAATCCTCAGATAGTTGTCCACAGAGAGGAACATGGGGTAGGGGCTTAAGATTTCTCCCCACTGTAGTTTATCTGATCTGTTTCCCTCCAACACAATAAAACACCCCCTTTTTTCCATCATAGTTTATTTTCTCAATTGCATCAAGTGAAAACACTTGTTTCTGGTTTGATCTTTTCATTGGATCAGTAGACCAAAAAATATAGAATATTCATCGGACATCCTTTAAGTTACTGTTTGGATGAAAAAACAAGGCCTGATTCCAATCTTCCTTTTTTTTACATGCACACAAAATAAATCGTTTAAGGGCCTTTTCTGCACTTTATATGAGTCTTAACAATTCTGATTATTAATATCATGGTTGTATGGGGATCAAAATACTTTACGACAATAAAATATTTATAACTGGACTTAACATAATTGGATAAAGGTCTTTCCCCCTTTGTTAGGTTTTTTGTCCTGTAATTTTGTTTTCATTGATTGTACCGTGCAAGCGTGAAATGGGGCGAGAATGTGGGAAAGGCATGCAGCAAAAAAATGCAGCTGCTTCCAGAAGAGTCAGAGGATCAACTTAGCAATTACAAGTCTTCCTTTTGTACGTCAAAAGGCAGCACTCACATCCGTAAAGCAACAGTAAACTACTTTGAGAAATGGGCGTCATGTTGGTTTCTGGCGTTTGCTTTTCTTTAAAAAAAAACAGGACAGAAAAGGTGGTCTGCAGTTTCCCAGGAATAAATATGATTTGGAAGTTGATGTAAATGTAATTATGAGTTGGAAACTTTTAAGAACAGTAACTCTGATATGACATGACAACTGGAAGATAAGAGTCCACAGCCTCTCTGGCAGCTCTGTGAGGCTGGAATAATAATAATGAGAAAGTAAAGTTATAATTGGTTAAATGTTGAGATCCAATATTTGTTTTTGAGGCAAAGTAAAGATTGTCCAGCTGCTTGTGTCAGAGCCAAGTCTTTAGACATCTTTATTCTGGTGAGAGCAGTTAAGTGTTAAGAGAAGTGTCTGACAGTGTTGCAGACACTTTTTATGAGGCATTATTAGCATTTGAAAACATGTACTAGATTAAATGGCAATCCATGACTAACTGTTGGTCAGATTCATTACACAACTCCCAGTCTCTTGCATACAAATCAAGTACTTAGTAGATCTATCCAAACCAAACATCACACGGTTTGCTCTGCGGTATAAATACTGCTTGTTGTGGTAAACACAGTGGACAGTCTTCGTTAAAGGGCAGGGACACTGGTGGGATGTCAGATATGGTTTATCAGGCTCATCACATTAGGTTACCCTCCACAGGACCAGCTCACTCTGTGTATGATTATAATTTTCATCCTTATTTTAAAAAAAAACCTATGACAGATACACTGTTTTCATTAAGCTGGATACAGACCACAAACACAACCAAAGAGAGAGATCTGCCTTTTTCTGAACGATCTCATTACACTGATTTCACTTCTGCGGGGGGAGTGGCCAACTCAGCCAACCCACCGCCTCTCCAACACTCTTTGATCTTATACCGTTAACATTTAAATATACAAGTTTATGTTTTACACAAAAATGCAAAGAGTTTGATTTTTGGAGAAGATGTTCGAGATTTGACATTTAAAGTTTGCCTGCTTTCTTTGTGCCTTTGTTAGCCCCCCCCCCAAAGCAGATGGGCTGTGTGATGGCCCACTGTAGAGAATGTATGTTTTATTCATTTCACTTTATGAACATGCATTTCACCATTAGGCATTATATACGTATTACCATCTAAAAAATGTGTTTCTGCTCTAGCAGCTTAATTTAATCTTCCTTCTGTATTAGAAGTTGAGCAACAGTAGAAAGAGACTTTCATGTGTTTCATTTTTCATGCTTCACGTGGTCTGCCTGCTTTCAAAGTGCCATGTTATTCCTATGGAGGAGATCCAGGATTTCTATGGCCTCTACCTCCCCATTCCTTAAATGCCACATGGGGTATTTTGAACTTGAGCATCATATCATGATCCAAGATGACTATTCCAGTACAAAGGTTTTGTCATTAATGGCAAATAGATAATGGCACATTTCAATAGAATCATGGCACTGAAAGAGGAGAAAATAAGAAAGGTGGAGAGATCCAGGGAGGAAGATATATAACGTGGCAGGAGGGTGAGAGGGCTGGATTTGACCGTGGCTATTTCAGGGAGCATTAGTCCTCAATGAAAATGATGGTAGCTGCTGTAAATCATTGGTTTGTTGTGTTGTAAAGCAGAAACACATTAAAGACCCTGCAGTCAGAGTACACATGAGAAGAACCAGTACCAAAACACTGTAGTGTGTGTGTGCAGCTTCAACGACAACATGATATGACAGATAATGATGCAAATAAATAATGTAAAAAGATAAATTAGGACCCATAATAAAAACACGAAAAAACATTATCATCAAACAATAACAAATGACTTAGTAAAATATTCCAAGATCTGGTCTGGGTCTAGTTGTTAATGCGCTTTAGAGCTGGAGAGGACTTAACTATCCAAGTCAAGGGTAAGAGGGGGTTCATGTGAATTTATCTTTATGTCACGTATTAAAAACAGGATGACCAAAGATCTAAGTATATTTTTGCCTGAGGAAACCCCACCTGAGGCAAAACATGGCCTGAAGCCTGCTTTAAGGCAGCTCTAATTTAAATTTTCATCTACGTAGGCAGTGGGGTCATCGCAGGTTTGTAATGCTTCGGCTTATTTAGGATAAGCAGCGATTCTACTGCACATGTTTATTACATGTGAAATGACAAACCAAACACCCTGTGACACGTTCAGCATGTGTTGCACTGCATGACTTGATGACCAAGGTTTTCAGCTCTGCTTTTGAATAGTTTTTTTCTTGAGAATTATGACCAAGTGTAATGCTTACATAAATGTCTAAATGGCCTGAATGTGTATTTCTGGTGAGCTCAAGGGGTTTTCCCTCGAGCTTGCAGAGTTGTGTAAGCACTGAACACGAGTGCAGGGTAGAGGCAGGAGTTGTTTACCTTTGCTCAGGCTTCTCCCCAGTATATGCTTGTCTCTGAGGAGCTTCAAGAGTATGATAATTAATGTTGCATAAATGTAGAAATAATGAAACAAATCAAATCAATTAGTCTATGATCAATTATTAAACAAACTGGCAGTAAAGGCTTTGCTACGACTCAAAATAAAAATGTTTCAAGTCAATTAATCAGCTGGGGGTTTAGTGGCGGTTGTTTTTGGAGTACGCCAGTTTGATAATCCATCCATGTGGATCATTGATCGCAGGTTTTCACTGTAGAGCAGACACATTAAGACACTTTGATCAAAATTTAATGTCACAAACTTCCGTTGACTTCAGTGAGTTAAAGTTGGACTGAAAAAGCTAAACAACTAATGGATGCAGTGACATAATAATCCACAGAAGATCAATTCTGATTAGTTTGATGATCTCTTGACTTTTGTGATGTTGGCAATTCCCCATTTTTCCCAACTAACTATTTTCTTAAACTATCTTGTTAATTATTTACTGATTGATTTTGTGATGATACTAATGGCTCCCAACTGCCTGACTTTAGTGATTCCCTGGTTCTTTGTTAAGCACTATGAGGCTGACAATTGTTAATTCAAGATCAAAATGTATCATTATTGAATTTTGTTTATTTATTAATGTCTGCCTGAAAAAGTAATCACTTCGGGCTCTGTTCGGGTATCCACACTCTATTGTAAAGATGTTAGCATGCTGATGTTAGCATTTATATCAAAGCTAAAACAGCAACCTGTTTTATAGTATCATATAATGACCTAACACCAAACCTCAGAATTAGATGAGAAGTAGCCTGACTGAAATGACAGAAACCATCTTTGCTAAAAAAAATGGCTTCACATTTAGGGGACTGTCATGTCACCCATTTTTGTTTACAGTCTTTTTCCAGCGCTGCAATTTGTTGTTCAGTATCTTTTTGAGCCAAATAACAAAGCTGCCCACTCACGCTCCTCCTTTCTGTCTTTCTCAGGTATCGTGTCGCTGATCTCTCTGGTGATCCTCTCGTACGACCGCTATAGCACTCTGACAGTTTACAACAAGCGTGGGCCCAGCTACCGCAAGCCCCTTCTGGCTGTCGGGGGCTCTTGGCTTTACTCTTTGTTCTGGACAGTGCCCCCTCTACTGGGCTGGAGCAGCTATGGCATTGAGGGGGCAGGGACGAGCTGCTCCGTATCCTGGACGGCTCAGACGACCGAGTCGCACGCCTACATCATCTGTCTGTTCACCTTCTGCTTGGGTCTGCCTGTCCTGGTGATGATCTACTGCTATGGTAGGCTGCTCTGGGCAGTCAAACAGGTAGAGAGACAGTAACAGTGTGTGTGCTTGTGTTTATGCCACTTTTCTGTATAACAAGGCCAGATCCAATGAACAGTCTTTAAAGTGTGATTTCACCCATGATCTTAAACTGAAGTGTTTCTCTGTGAAAATTATAAAAATGCCTTTAGAACGCAGTTAGAGGAAGGGGGGGCTAAGACTACCAAAAACCTCCCACCATCTCTCTCCCCAATGCACACACTCACATTGCAAACACACACAAACATACCAATTAGTTTGCTAAAGCAAAATCATCCCGGTTGTATAGGACTCTAGACGCACACAGAAACAGAAATGTCGTATGAGGTAGAGGTGTCTTGCCTTCAAGGTATCAATGTTTTTCATCAAAGAACAGCCATAAAATTTCAATTTTTAAGTACAGTATCACTTTAATTTGACTTACCTGTAGGGTGAACAGATTGGCAGTCAGGAAGTCAGAGAAGACAAAGACAGGATGCAAAGTTAGAGAGACATACAAGGGAAGAACTTTCAAAATAAAACAGGAAATAATGGTGAAAAGATATAAATCCAAAAACTAAACAAAGAAAACAACAAGTTCAAAGTCTATAAACACAATGAGTCTAAATAAAAGGTAGGAATCAACAACTAAGCTTAATGTGAGATCAATATGAGATTTAAGTTATTTGCTCATACTTAATATATTTATATTTATATTTATAATTATTTAGCTCCTGTCTCTGCCCGATCCTTAGTTAAGATCTTAAAATGTTTGGTCTCATCTTGTCTTAAATGTGTTTTAGTGATCAGATTTAACCCCAAAGAAAACTGTGAGAAGCCAATGAGCACAGCAGAAGAACTGGTCTGGTCAATTTGACTGGATTTATCCAGTGTCTTGCTCCTAATGTATTTGACGCAGTATTCACACTTTCACAAAGGTCTATGAGTTGAGAAAGGGAAGCCTGATGCCTGAATGCCTCATTTGGGCTTCTACACACCAGAGGCTTGTCTGAGGGGTGATCAGGTGAACAGATCTCTACCAACGTTAGTGTCCTAACAGAGTCTTTGCAGGCCATCAGGAAATTGCAAGAACGTGGTCCAGGTTTTCGTGAATGTGGCCTCTCCCTCCCATCTGGTCCTGCTTTTAAAGGCTCAGGAGGAATTTTCAAGTCTTTGGTCTTCTTGGGGACTATGAAATATCCAGAAAATAGGCACTGTGTTACTGTCCTCTGCCAGGACCACAGAAATGTCTTCTTTCTGTGTGTTTGCTGGAGGGAGCATCCGCCCACTCCTGGGAGGAAATGTGTGTCCCTCACACGACACAGTGAAGGAAGGTGATGTAACTGGAGTGGTGCATGCAACTAGCTGAAATAGCTTCAAGCTAGAATCTATATACCTGAAAATGCCATTCTGACCATATTATGCCACATGGGAAAAGTTATTGGCTCCTTGTCAATCATATAAAAATTCTGGGATACTTCAGACACCATCTCCCACATAGATGTGAGAGAAGCTGACAGACGACATGATGTGATAACGCGACATCAACGATATTTTCAGCACAGCTATAATGAAGTGTGATTGAAGAAAATGCCAGGCTAAATACATCACCAGCAAATGTCAGGTTTGGATGACAGACTATGAATCGAGGAGCGATTCCATCACAGAAAAGTTGACCTGCCATTCATCCACTCAGTGATTAGACTGGAGTGCAGCGCAGCCAGAGAAGTTCACAGACATAGAATGTTTTCCTAACTTAGTTTAAAAGCAATGAAACTCAAGGCACCCCCTGAACTGAGATTGTATGATGGTGTATTAGTATTGAAGGAAAATAAAATTGTAGTTAAATGAGGAAAGAAACATTTTAAATAAGGGAAATTCATTGCAAAATCTTCATCTCTTCTGAAATCCCTTTAACAGGACACAGAAAAACCCTCACAGTCGACCAAACGTTTCCTTCTTCCCAAAAGGATCAAATTCAAGTCAATGTGTCTTTCTTTGGAAAAGACAATTATTTGTGCAATATCTTCAAAGTCCTATAATACTGATAATGTGGTGCTAAATTACTAAAATATTTTTTTCTGAAATAGCCTACTCGTCGTAAGATTGTGCAAAATCGATCAATAAAGTAAGAAAAATATTACTTGATGACGTCTTTAGTGAGGCTGGATAAGGAATGTTTTTATTGGAGCTGCTCAAAATAATCAATTTTGATATTATTTCAATCTACTGTATAATGCAAAATAACAGAAAATGTGAAAGAGTGTGCAGCTGGGGCTGTTCCTGCACAGTCTGCTCAGCTGCAGCGGATGCTCGAGGATGGCGCTCTTATTAGCGTAACAGAGATACCGGAGGCAGATGAACCATATGATGGTAACTGAGGCACAAAATATCTCAAACACACAAAATGAAAGCAGAGGCATGCATCAGTTCCCCATATAATAACCCAGGGACTGAACTGGACACAGCAGAATGATTTTATTGTAAGTGGATCCAGCTCAATGGGCAGCAAGAGATTATAGAGCTGGACTTTTAGACATCCTCTCGCCTAACTCTGTCACATACATTTAGAGTAAGCATGGTGACAGCGTTTTTCTGGGTTTTAAGGAATAAATTTGCTTCTGTTAAGTAAGTGAAATCCTCTGCACTCATGTGACTTAGGTTGTTTAATCCTTAAGGCCGAAGGGGTTAGCAGGGCGGGGGATTATCACAGCTTTCCACAAACAGAGCACATAAGACCCTCAAAGATCCTCTTGTTTCTTGTCATTTTAATCCAGTGCTTCTTTTTTAAACCTCAGTTTTAAAGTGTTATACAAATTGAAGATTATTAGAACATGATGCAAACACAGAAGCGTAATAAATAACCATTGCAAATTATAAGAAAGGGGAGGAAATGTAGCTGGACTCTTAAAGGGATAGTTCACCGAAAAATTACTCATTCACTCATTATCTTCTCACCACTATACCGATGGAGGGGTGGGTGAAGTGTTTGAGTGTTGGAGTTTCACAGGTAAACAGCGTTGCAGCCAAAGTGACCACTTCTTCAGACATAATAAAACAACAGAAAAAACAAACATAAAATGCCTCCATACTGCCCGTGTGGTGTCATCCAAGCATCCAGAAACCCCGACATTCATATTCGACACGAAACAGCATCATTTACACCATGTTAATAGGCCACTAACGGAGTGAGCAATGCTAGTGGACATAGTGATGCGAACGCGCACCCCACACATGCCCCTGGGCAAGAGTGTGTGTGGTTTTCCAGTGTGAGAACGTGATTGCACCTCCGAGGAGGATATCAGAGGACATTTAGGCTAATGACAAAGTGTTTTGTGCACTCAAACACTTCACACACCCCTCCATCTGCATCGTGGTGAGTAGATAATGGGTAAATTTATATTTTTTGTTGAACGATCCCTAAGGCTTGTACACCCTGGTATCACAAAGTAGCTTTCCTGTAAGTCACATTAGCTGAATTAGTTCATTTTCATTACCTGAGTAAAATACATCACACACTACCCCCCTCCTTTGTCTGAAGTACATTTTTGAATCTAATAACTTGATTTAATGTCTGATGAGGAAATCAATAACCTAAATCGCATGATTATTCTCATTGAGCAAAGGAATAAATGAAAAGCTGAAAGGCACCCAGTGAGAAATGAGAGCATGTCTCATATGCATCCTCGGCTCTCAACAGGCTGTGAATCAACCAGACAGAGAGCATTTGTTTATATGTTCAGATAAAGCATATCTGAAATATGTCCAAGTCTCTGCAAACACCAGGCCCGGATGATTAAAGTGATTCACTATATGCACAAACACCATGTTTAATACTACAAAGCATTCCCCTCATAGCTGCCATTTATTGCCCATTCATCCATCCATTATCTTTACCAGCCTATTCTCATGACTTAAATACTTGAACACCCAGCACACAGTGAACATGACTTCCCACATCATAGCTACAACCTAGGGAGCGAATAATGAAAGCTGGATACATCTCTACGCATAGACTGTAAATAAAGATGGTCTTAGTCGACAACAGATATTTTGGCATAATTCTGGACGAGGGAGGAAGAAGAGATGTATTGTCCATTTTTATATACATAATGGAACCACCACTCAGCCTCACTGCTAATGTGCACTAGTGGCCACTCGTGGTATAGCAACAACAGAGCCATAGACCACCATTATAAGAGCAACATCTTGTCAATTAAGAAACTCAAACTGCAAACAAGTAACTGTAACTTATATCATGATTGTTAATCAGTGAAGGTTTTATAGAAACTATAACTTCCCCATTGTATAGAAAAAACATCATCATCCTGATGTAAAGCCTGTGAGCTGATGGGGCCAGAATTAAAAACATTAACGTGCAGCTGGCCAACGATGTGGAAGCAAACCCAGAAGCTGGAGAAAATATTTGGCTTATGCTCTGAGAAAAAAAATGCCATTCATGTCACTGAGTGCCATTTTGATATCTAGTATCCAGGTCACATAATGTGATGCACATAGTAAATATCACCATCTGTTTGAGTAGATCAACAGTCAAATCCAACAAATCCAGTCTCATCAGAAGATTTGTGGCCCAAACATTTTCCTGTCTATGTGCATTTTTAACATTATTAATGTGCAGTGTATATTTTAATTTGTAATCTTTTAGAAACACATTTTAAATAGATTTTCTACTGGTCGGGCAGCCAGTGCTTTTCCAGTTTCACAATTGTAGTTTCAATTGGCTTTGGATGATCACACCACAATTAACAAGTCATTGTTTTTCCATCATGTTTATTATTAATGCACCATAGAGCAGGGAGGAACTAATGAAAGATAATACTACACTGATGTAATGCCTGAACCATTGTATTGGGTTGTTTTCAATTAGTAACACAGCTTTTGAAATTGCTGATAAAAGTCATTGAATGCACAAATAAGCCGAACTCACATTGAGGTTTTTAAGTGAAATAAATGTGATTATTCATCAGGTTATTCATCAGCTGCTGAGAAAGGAAACTCTTGCACTCTCATCCACAGGTGGGTAAGGTCCGAAAGACAGCGGCCCGGAGGCGAGAGTACCACATACTGTTTATGGTTCTGACCACGGCCGCCTGCTACATGCTGTGCTGGATGCCTTACGGAGTCGTGGCCATGATGGCGACATTCGGCCCACCCAACATCATCAGTCCTGTGGCCAGCGTGGTGCCTTCACTACTGGCCAAGAGCAGCACGGTCATCAACCCCCTCATTTATATACTTATGAATAAACAGGTGAGTCGATAACAGAGCTGTGAAGAAAGTTTAGAAAATCAAAGACTGTTTGACATGAACAACAGCTTTATTTACACGGTAAAAAAATTACAACAGCTGAAATCATACAAATGGTCTATTTAAATATTAATTCAAGTGTAATTAGAAGAGAATTCACTGACAAATCAAAGTCAAGAAGAACACCCTAAGGCTGTTGGGAGTGAAACACAACCTTCACTCTAACCATGTTCGGAAATGGATGCTTCTTTTTTTTTTCTCTCTCTCTTCCTCATTTTAGGAATACTGCAGAAAGCCACAGCAGGGAAATGTAGAAAATAAAAAAATTGAGATGTTGAACAATCCCTCATAGGCAGTGTGTGGTGCAGCGGTTCCCACAATATGGAATAATCACAACACATGAAAAATAGGCCTCACAAGCAAAGAGCAGAGAGACGGAGGCTGAGAGAGAAAGAAAGACAGAGAGAGAGAGAGAGTGAGAAATGTAATACAGTGTCTCTGAATGAGTTTTTCTCATCTCGCCACTTCCACACTCGTCAAAGTTAATGTCACTGCAACATCCTGTATTAAATACTGGAAATAACATTGTTGCAATGATGGGGATCAAAATTCAACTATACACCATCTCAAGTATCTGCTCTTACCCCAACACCTCATTCTGAGTTCGAATTGCTACGCATAAACATAATTAATAAAGGAATTTGGCACCATATCAGGATGTGATGAAATTGCCACCGGGCATCGCACTCATCAACTGCTTCCAAGGAACTAGTTCCACCTGCAGCTGGATGCAATTCCCCATCCGCTTTGCCAAATGTACCATTATTGTACTCTCTGTACAAGGCATGAACAAGACTCTCCATAATGAACACAATTCCATCTTTTAGTGACAGTGGTAGGAGTTATGATAATCAGTATAGTAAAAAAGGCTATTCATCCTACGTCTGTATTTACGCTGGTTGTGATGATGTCTGTGAATATGGATCATGCATCTGATTTGACAAGTTACTCATCTCTGGCGTCTTTCCAGCTAATACTTGTTCATTTATGAAATTATCACTTATTCATAATCAACATAATTATTGTTTAGGTTTCGTTATTGTTTTCTTGTACAATAATTTGTCCCAAAATAATACAATAATACGATCCTTTTACGCCTCTCCTACGATACTTCAACATTTCCCATTTGGCAACGCCGTCCCCCCTTTTCCAAAAGCATGCACTGAAATATGTAAAACACCACTTAAGAGAAAAAAAAATCTTACAGTACAATCTCCTCTCACAACATTAATGACAATGGTGTCTACTCGCAGCACAGTACAGCACAGACAGTTTAAGACTCTTAGCCCTGATCTCGACGTGCATGCTCTGTGCATCGGAAAGTGATCAAAGTTATTAAGAAATACACATGTACAATATGTTCAGGGTTTATGCACCTTCAGTGTGTTACAATCACAAGCACTAAAACATCTGGTTACTTATCTCAGAACCTACAGCAGAGCTCAGAACCTGCATGGGTTTGAATGAATGCTGAAATCTTTCTACTTTTTAAAACCTCTGTTACAGTTGCTGACTTTACTCTGGCCCCTTTTTTCCTCTAAAGACATGCCTATATAATCAACATGAAACTGGGGCTGGGTATCAAACCTTTGTACTCAATGAGCCAAATGCATCTAGTGTCAGAAAATTGGGTCAGGGTGATATAACCAGGAATGCATTATAATGATAATCACTTGTTTATACACTCTATACCGTATTTACTCTGCCAACTGTATTTCTGCACCATTTCTACTGAAGCAGCTTTATCTTTGATATCTTAACATCATTATCGAAGATACCGCAAATCAATGAGAACAGCTTTCTTGGCGATATTTGATCGGCAGGATTTTGCATCAATGTGATGAAGAACTTGCGCCATTTATGTAATTCACTGAATTATTCAATATTGTCCGATTGGTTCATCTACACACAGTTTCTCAATTTCATTTCCAAAGAAAATTACACAATCGTGATACACAGAATATCAGTGTTTCAACAGAAAATAACAAAGTGGAAGATTTCGGTTTATCACCCTGAAAGTTACTTATTAAAAGCTGGCAACAAATATTTGGGCAAATTTCTGTTTTTTTTCTTTAATCAGGTTTGACTGGACTGTTATAGTATCAGCACAATGCGTACGTACTTTATACTGTCAGATTTTGGATGATACCAACCCCAGAATCATCTACATGCTACAATACCTATCTTCTTCAACAGTCATAAAACTATTCAAAGCAACATTTCTGTGACAAGTTTTCATATCTTATACCAAACCACAACCAATGGCACAAGCACATTTTGTAAGATAGTACACCTAGTAGTAAAAATCTCTTGTTACAGGCAAGATTTTTGACCGACCGACTGCACATCTGCAGTGAAAAAACACCACCAAGCCTCTTTTCCACACTGAACTAATATCTCAGAGACAAAGCAAATAAGGTGTTATTACTGGTTCAAATTCCTCTTTTATAATCGTCTCTACTCTGCGCTGTGGATGGTTTTCAGACCAATATTAGAGGATTCAGAAAATATGAGACAAGAAATATCCCTGCAACGAGCTGCACACAGAGAGTTCCACTGCAGTGTTGAGTTCCACCCAGGGTTTGGCCACACAGTGGTAAAATTACATTCAATAAAAGAGTGAACCAATGATGAGAAACAGGGGCTGGTGGTGATTGCTGAGGCAGAGCTGAGACCCCTGATACGAGTCAATTCATCAATATCGACTGTTCTGCTCATCCCATGGCAACCAGACTCCCCGGTACCGCCGTCCTGTCACGAGGCAACCCGAGGGAAGTGTTCAGTCGAGCACTAGGCACAGGGTTACGGCCGCTCTGAGCACCTGTTTGTTCTGTAGATCCATTTCAGCCCCTTTTACTTCGATTCAGATGCGCCCTCAGATAAAGTAAAATATGTTACAACAGGTAGAATGAATAGAAAAAAGGAAGAGCAGCCCCTTCCAGTGAGCTTTTAACTGAATAATCATCCAAAACATGTGAGCCAGAAGTGACAACCTGGCAATTGTCAGTTAACATGCATGGGAGAGTGGTTTAGTATTCAGCATAACCATGTCAGTAGTGTGAAATTAACCCCTCGGGACGACACACAACTTCTGATTTCACAGGACGATACCAGAGGAATGTCAAACAGGAACAGCTGCTACAGAGCAATGTATAGTACCATGACTGATGTGACAGCACGTCTGTCTCTTTGGAGACGTGTTCTTCTGCATGTGCTGCTGCTGCATGTGTGTAAAATAATGCTGCATTTGTGACATTCAGCGTGCATGACTTCCTGGCTAATTCACAACCCTTTGGACCAGTAAATGGAAAAAAAAAAATCACAAGTATCCGTTATAAACAGTGGCATTACCTTTAAGTGGAGAACCACCCATACTATTGAAAAAAGACAAATTTTACACCATTGAAACACACCCAGTTATTGAAAACTCACGTGTCTATCTAAAAACAATGATCTGTTGCTACTCTAGTCAGCTCCACAGCTAACGTGGCTCAGCTAAAGCAGAGAGAAACATCTTTTTCATATCCACATCCTGGAGACTCTTCCTGGAAGTCTCTGGTCTAGTAAACCATCTTGATGAAGACAAGTTCTTTCTGAAGCCTCCACATTGATCCCTCCCTGGAGTGGTATGGCTTATGTTCTTCGTGGGTCTAATTTGAATTTGTAAGCTTCAGCCTCCTTGTCTCCAGTGGTTTTATTGCACCTCTCCCTTAGTCAGCCAGAAAAGGCCAGAGTGTGTGTGTGTGTCTGTACGACAAAGAGGTTCAGGTTTCGTATTTCAGATGTCACAGTTGACGGTGCTGAAGCCTGGGAGAGTGACCCGTCCCTTCCTGCGGAGGTCACTCTCAGGGCCCGTGTTGATTCGCTGGATCAGGTTCTTCTCATACAGGAGGGGATGGTAGGCACCCAGTGTACACGCAGCATCATAATAACGCTCGTGGTAGTGGCACAGGTCCGTCTGCCTCATGGAGGGAATGTACTCGTACACATGCACCTGCTCACAGAGCGACATCATCAGGAGGATTCCTGCAATGTGAACAGAGACAATAGTTCATTATTACATTAAAACCTGTTTTTGGCTGCATCCATCAGCCTCTGAATTCCATTTCTTAACTTTCACTTTAATCCACCGGAGTTCATCAGTTCATCAGCTGTATCCCCTGTATTAAAGCAACATTATGTAACTTTTACTAAGCAACAACGCCCACTGCAGCAACTTGTGGTGATTAATTCTGTTAGGCTCCGTGTCTGAACGACTAAATGGGTTTTATGTAGAGAAAAAGTCCCGCCCACTTAATCGAAACAACTAAACAGTGAATATTACCCATGATCCCCGGCTTCCTGAACCAGCATAGCTGCCGTTGTAACAAATCCACTAAACCCTGTTCAGAAATCTTCACATTTCCTCTCTGAATATTGGAGATCAACGCTGGTTTTGATGACTTCAAAGTGTTTTTAACTTATCTACAGTTCAGCTTCACTCTTCAACTGGCTGGGCCTGATTCTGACATTCAGTCAGTTCCTCTCTTCTCACAGGAGATCAACCAACCAAAGTTACATAGAGCAACAACAGATGTTCAAGTTCAGTGAAACATCAAACTCATTTGAAGCTGCTGTAAAGGTAAACTGTGTGCTCACCTGGAAGCTTCCCAATACAACCACAGTCCAATCTGCTGTGGCTCTACTGGAGTAGTTGGGAGTTCCAGGAATGTTTCAACAATTTGGCAAATATTCTTATTTGAGTTCTTGCTCAGGTTTCACATGAAATAGTTTTTCTCAGCATTTGCTACACACACTCCTAAAAGCATTTACCACAAAATCCCCAGTGGATCGGCACCATTTCTAAAGTCAAGGATGGCAGTAAGACCAGGATTTCTGCAGTTCACATGCGAATAAAAGTGCAAATGTTCAACTGTGCTGAAAAAACTACAGAGCATGCATGTTGAGAAAAACCCTCTTTTAGATAAGGATATAAAACAGAAGTGAATACATAATGTATGAAGACAGAGAGTTATGCTGCCTCAGCAGGTGCAGCCTGGTATCTATCATGCCTGCTGATAGTTTGCTGCCAGCACAGATAGATGTTGAGGCTCGCACATACATTTCATTACCTTCGTTGTGCTTCATTCCAGCTTTCTATATACTTTGTACAGCTCATTTCTGTTTATCTGTTTCTCTGCATGATTTTTATTCGGCTCACATCCCTCCTCCTCCTTTGTGATAACACACAGCACAAAACACCAAGCAAAATAATTCCTGCACAATGTGCCTGTGAGACACGTAAGCATGTGTTGTAAGCTGCTTCTCCATGTTTCCTTGAAGAGTTCATTATTTTTTCTTTACTAAAACTCAATTAGAATGGCCATCGGAGAGTGCATGTAGCACATACACCATGTAGACAGAAACTATCTACTAACAGCTAACAAGTTTCCCAGTTCATCACCTGTACACGTGATGTGTTTTTTTCGTACAGAACTTTGTATTATTTGTTGAGAAATTCCCAAAAATGTAAAACCCACTCCAAACAATCCTGGACACTATAATCCACTCAGTGCTAGTTTGCATAATCCTGCTCAGTAACAACCAGATAAACAAATGCAGATTAAAACATGACCTCATTGACCAAGATAACAAATGATTGATTGTACAAAAATAATTATAATCAGCTTGCCTTTACAACACAGACTTATAAAACCAGTGGAATTGTACTTTTAGATTATGTTTTCATCTGCATTTGTTGTCTGTTTATTAGCCGGGTTACGTAAAAGAGATAAGAACGGCGTTGGCCCTTCTGCACCTGCAGATAAGGTCTCCAGAACAACACAACAATGCTCAAGTAATGTACGTAAGTGTCAAAACACAGGTGTCCATACAAAACTTTTACTAACCCAAACCTAGTCGTTTTCACTATTGTGTCTCGTGTATGCGCAGGTCATCAGTGATGGAAATGTCCTCGCTGACGCTCGACAGGTATAGACTGACAAATAGATGACATCATGATTCCCTGACACAAACACAAGAGCCTGTTTTTCAAAGAGCTGTTAACAAACCTTTCCAGTTGATGACCTGCAAGCTTTAAAGGCCACTTACTCAGCTCTGCCAGTGCAACAGGGCATTAGGGGACCAATCTCTCACATCACTACCTGTAGACTCTGAGGACATGGCAGTGCACTAAAGACTAAGTACCAGTCTCTCTATAGTGTTTTTTCCTATCTTTTTCAGTTCAAGCGCATGACTTATTGAATTTATGTTCAGAATGTGCATTACTTTCCATCAAGACCACGCTCTTGATTATAGATAGGAAAAAAACTCCATATCTCTCCAGCACAGTTAAACAGAGTCCAATACTTCTCTGACGACGTTAACAAGAACGCTCAGCAGCACATTATTTTCACATTACCCTTCTTTCCCTCTCTCTCGCAGTTCTACAGATGTTTCCTGATCCTGTTTCACTGCAATCACCATTCAGCGGGGAGCGGCAACATCTCCGTTCCCTCCAAGACCACTGTGATCCAGCTTAACCGCAGGGTCTACAGCAACACGGTGGCCTGCACGGCGCAGATCTCCACCGACGCCATCAACCAGGGCTGCAGCACGCCAGTGACCAAGCAGACAACACCCCCCGGGGTCACGACCTGAGCCTGGATATCCTCAGTACAACCAGACAACAAACACTGTCATGATGAAGCAAGAAAAACTGCCCTTATAGCATGATGTAAAGTGAAATATGGACTGAAGCCTGATGCATTTAAACAGTAAATGTACTTTGTGTGAGCTTGTGTTGTACAGTACAAAATCTTTTTCCGTGTCCACTCAGTTTTAGTTTTTATACACATGAGATTTTTCATCATTTTTATGAACTTGCCTGTTCATTTTTTTCTGCTAAGCACATTTTCTGTATACAATGGAAACAGGGTAAAAAATGCTGTGTTTTTACAAATATGTCAAAGGTTTGAGGTTTTATGGTTCATACAATTTTTGTTTTTTAAAAAGATTCACAAACCCTATTGCACCACAATAGGTGGAAGGTTTCAAATTATTTCAGTTTTGCCACATTCATGTGTTTTTATTCCTTTTACTCCAACATGTTTTTGATCATTTCTAGAAATTCAAATATATTTTAGGCTAGCTAAGTTAATTTCTTGAAATTCAGGATGCGTTTTGTTTTCAACCAATTCTTTCCACAGCGCAAAAACCTTGTTTTTATTCTCTGTTGTTGTTCAGTCAATTTGTCATTGTGCTGCTGTAAATGCCAAGGCTAGTCAATCATAGATTTGTGCTGCAATCAGTGTTTAAGTGGATTGATGTATTTATCGTTAAACATCCGTCTTTTCTTCCTCAAACCTCTGTACTGCTCTGACTGTAAATAACCCAGAAGCCCTCACATAAAGACCTGTGATTGTCTTTAAGTCTGTGTATGTTACTGTAAAGTTAATTATTTTGCATGTAACCAGTAATTTGGTTTATTTCTATTTGTGTGTTTGTTACCAGTCTTTTGATATGGTCACTTTGTGTTGCATGATTTTGTTGTTTTTTAGGATTTATCAGGCGAGAGAAAGACATTTACTTTAAAGAGCTCTGGCTTCTGTAGTGGGGGGGGGGGCACCTATGGGTGTCAGTGGCTACATCCCCCGATAGTTTATAGCTCCAGATTCATCTGTCATTTACTACAGCTCTTGTTGTCAAATTTTGAACCCTGTGTGTGTCAAGTTGCGGAGACGCTTGACAGATTAGCTGTTGCACACACGGCCAACTGTGACGACGACATGACACCTTCCCCTTTCTTACCCATGTGTGAGATGCAGCTACTCGGTCACTACAGCAAAAAAGGGCAAAGAAGAGGTGGGAACACAAACAGAGCGGTTTTAGAACTGGCTTGTTTCCTCCAGGGGGCACCGCTTCAGACTGCTTTTTGTCTTTTCCTATAGTCTCTGCAAACTCCAGGAGAAATCTGGGAAGTCTATGCTCCCCATTAATGACAGGTCATAGAGATGTCTGCAGAGATGCCACGAAACGAGAGCTGAGCGCCAGAGGAAATTATGTTTTTGGCATGTGCCGCCTCGCCCAAGGACAGGAGCAGCGAACAGAAACTTGGCTTCATTCAAGCAGAAGATCCACTTAACAGTACAATCGCATTGTGAGTGAGAGCAGGCGAGAAATAAAGAGAGTGAGAAAGCACATAGTTACTTGTCTTTGGTGGAATTTGGAGGCAACCATCAAGCTTATTCACTGAGGTAGTATGAAGGACACAAGTGGTTCATTCAGGAAGAAAAAGAAGCAAGGCAGTGAGGCAGAGTGGAGGAGGAGTTTGAGGATGTTTCTAACACAACAGATGCAAAAAATAAATAAAAAACTGGATGTTGTGAATCTCCTGCTGCGTTGTGCATGTGTGGAAGAACGCCTCGGGAGAAAGGGCCCAATTCTCCTGAGGTCCTCCACAAGACATGCAACTATAGCTAGCTATACAAGTCTCCATCAGTAAAACTGATTCCGAGGTACAGCAGTATGCAATGGAGGAGTCAGACCTGCCTCGTTAATGGACATAATATAGAGAGCGGGAGAGAAATGGGGAGAACTTGGAAGAAAAATAAGAGCACAGCAGGAGAGGGGATGAGGTTAGATGATGTTATGGAAGATGGATGTCATCAGAGCACAGAAGCCACTGATTACGCTGCAGTACGTCACAAGTAACAATAGATGATTGATGCGCATCTGCTGCTGCTGCATTGAATCAAGCCCTGTAGCTGCATCCACTGTGTTGTGTAACTGTCAGAACAGACAGAATCTGCAGCAGTGATGAATATCAAGGTTTACGTCTGTTGAATTTGATCTCCATTGTTCAGGTTGAGGTATAAATAACATGTTTATGACCATCGCAACATATTTTAATAAGAGATTTAGTTCAATTGAAATTGCAGACTCTGATTACTCCTGTTTTTTAAGCAGGATGAGAGAGCAGAGGAGATGAGGAGAGCGACAGACAGATGGAAGTGTAGAGCAGGAGAGGTGAAGAGGAGGAGAGTATCGGACACGACGGAGGAGTTTGTCATAGTTCAAATTCATCACAGTTCAGATGAGCCCTTGTCGCACAATAGCAGCAAAAGCTATGAGAGAGAGAGAGAGAGAGAGAAAACCAATCGAAACACACAATCTACCACGTGACTGTTTCATCGACATCGAGACTCCTACGTCTTTTTTCTTCAGGGTTTAATTCTGCTGCTGAAAGGAATTAATTAGAATGAGAACCAGATTGTTGAGAGCTGTTTTCATTTCTGTTCCATGTTGTGAAGTCCATCCTACGCACATGAGCGCGACCTTTTCGTAGAGCAACAGCAGCTCGTGCAGTAGCATATGGTGACGGGTTTTTTTTGGGGGGGGGGGGGTCTATCAAACAAACAGGACAGAAAAAAACTCATCTAAAAACGACACTTCAACGCTGCCTACAATTTGAACACTCAAATCAGTGACTGCTGTTTGTCCAATTGATAGCATTGCTCACTCTGTCATAGTGTCTCTGATAAAAGTTTTTATTAACTCTGCCAAGGACGTTATATTTTCACGTGTGTTTGTCTGAACAAACTGGAGAAACTACCATGGAACCTGTGTGTGGTATGAGTCAGTAAAGAACCCATTTAATTTTGGTGTGGATCCGGATCAGGGGCAGATCCAGGTTGTTTGTTTTTTTTTTAAATAGGGCATTTTGAGAACATTTTCATTGATTTTTTTTCGAGAATAATGCACAAATGTTGGACTGATATCTATGAGTGTGTGCAATTTAGTGCAGATCCTAATAAAAAGATCTAGTGGAGTTAAATGTGGTTTCATGTGGGGGCTGTTGGGACTGCGCAATATATGTATCGCAAAAGTAGATAATAAATCAAAAGATATCACTGACGGACAGACAGGGCTGTGTGCCTTCTCCCTCGGACTGTGGAGTTGTCCGTTGCCCCTGCATCCGTAGCCAGGTGAAATTTTTTTAAGTTAAACTAATTCTTGGAATGGAAATAATGTTACTCACTGTATGGTTTCTATGTTAGCAGCGAGTCCAAAGCAGAAGACTGTACACTGTATAATTAATTATGTTTATTTAATCACCATATCGCATTTAACAACGTTATCGCATATCGCATGTTTTCCTAATACGATGCTGTGAATCTATTCTGGGTTTTGTTTTTAATCATTACTCTAAGAAATTAGAACATATCAGTACATTCAAGTGCACATGTACATACATGTAACATAACAGGAATTAAAATATGACCAAACATCCAGAAGAAAAGGAATGTGTTTTGGTTGAAAAAGCCTGAATTGTGATTGAATTTCTGTTGTGGAAAGAAGAAAAAACCCTTCATGACATCAGTGCTGTGCCGCCCCACGCTCGCGCTGTAATGACTGCATTTCTCCAGCAAAGAAGGAGACAAAGAAATTGCACCATTTAACATGTTGCCATGTCAACCTGACAGACGCAGTAATTGACGACCTGTGCTTCCCCATTCATTTCCTGTGGAAAACAGGTCTTGGTTCTTGTTCATACACTGTAAATAATGTGAGATTTGGTTTTACTAAATTAAATTAGGTCAAGTGGTTGCACAAAATAAATGTATCCAAATCAAGATATAGATATGTTGATTGTACTTTTTTCAGTAACTTACAAAATGAGAATTTAAAAACACATATAGGATTGAAACATTTAACATTTACAAGAGATGTCAGATTCCATTTTCTTCAAGTGTATGGAGGCTGGATGCACAACGCTGCTTTGAAACAAGGCTTTTTTCACTTGAATGAATACACGAATTGGCGTTTGGAAGACATCAAAGGCCTTTTAGTGAGCCAAGCCTTTATGACACAACAGTGATTAAGCATTCAGATGAAACATCCTCTCATTTTTGAGAGGATTTACAATCTCACAAGAAGAGAAGCTGTCGAGTGATGAACACATCTAATAACAGCAGAAAGCAGGTTCCCTAATTAGCTTGACCTCTCATACAGCAGGGTCAAAATTAATTTACACATACATTGTGTAATCAGTAGTATGAAAGCAGTGAAGCCTTACCTATCAATGGGATTCTACTTCTATTCTAAAGCCCTTATGCTTTTCATTCATACATTCTAATCAATAACATGTTTATGCCTGTGTAGCAGAGAGTTGTCATCCACGTTGGACTTTTCACATGGACAAAAAAACTACAGGCCCTGCACTGGTCAGCTAAAATGAAAGTACCTTTCGTAATTTGTTACATATCCTCAATTGTCTCGTCTTTTTGTAAACATATTGCTAAAAGCAAGCGGCTCCATTAATGCTCAGCAGCAGCAGAGGGATGGATGGAAAAGACGGCCGATAGAGACTGATGTCTGTGTTTCAGGAATCTGATTTAATTTGACATTTCAATGTTTCCAGAGGGATTATATATGAGTTCATGTGCTGCAGAGACTTTGCTGCTGATTTTATTTTTTCTGACTTTAATTCTTACAACAAACATTATTAAAAAAAAAAAAGAATTGTGTGTAAGAACCAGTAAGCTCATCATTAAAGAACTTGATATGGCTATTAATAAAATAAGATACACCCTGGCCCTCTTCACTGCGTTGCCACTCAACATAACATCTCCAGAGCCTGAGGGGAAAACCTGCATATTTGAGGTATACCAGATGGATGAATGGACCATGTAGTGACATCGTTTGACCAATCAGATAAACCCCCCGCTCACTGTCAGCTTCCCTCAGATGAATAGGTGTCAATGTGGTGGTGACTGTGATGGCTGAGGAGCACATATGAAATGTATATGTTCACTTCAATATCTGCTTATTTATTGCAAGTCATATCGTCATCTCAATCATGAACTATGTTATTGCACAGTGCAGGTTTTTCTCATATCGTGCAGGTCTAGCACAAATGAACCGAGCATCAGAGACCATTAGATTGTACAGCAGGGATCTCAGATTTATAGCTGATATAGGTTTATGGCTAATTATACTGCAATGTTGCTACAGCTTATAACTTTAAAACAAAAACACCTAAAAAGAAAAGGTTTATACCTGAGACCATCTATTAAAGGTATAGACAAAATACACTGTTATACACTGCTTTTATTTTTATGCAAACGCACATTTCCGAGTCAGAGCTTCTCCTTCCAGCCCCCCAAATAAAGTCTGAATGAGCATCAGGCCATAAAACCTCAACCTGTGGATAAATTATGAGAATAACTGTCCAATTGTTGGAGGAAAGACTGCTGCCATTATTGGATGCTTTATGTTATTTGGCTGTGTCAGGGGGGAAAAGATATTGAAATGTCTGAAAATCAAAGTCTATATTGACATGCTGGAGAGTTTCTAAGACTGGTCCTATTTTCACCACCCCCTGCATGGACGTGCTGCTTTGGAGTTCATTGCAAATCCATGCTGCATGCTGATAATGTCACTCTGCATACTGAAGATAAAAATTTCATCATGTCTTAGCATATGCCTACGTGTGTGTGTGTGTGTGTGTGTGTATACAGCTATATCTCCTCCTGGAGCAGGCAAGGAAAGGATAAGACTCCAGAGGCAGGCTGGATAACAGATGCACACAGCATGCATACAGACTGTATATTTATTTATGCATGTACATGTGGGTACTGACCTATGAAGCCAGATGAGGGAGGATTGGGCTGGATGTTCTCCTGAGTGTTGCCCTGAATCACATCCCAGAGTTGCCACACGTAGCTGGGGTGAAGGATGTAGAAAGCCTGGCCAGGATGGAGCTTACGGTGCTCCACGTATGGACCGAACAGATTGTAATCTGGACTGGCGTACCACTGACGAGAAGGAGACAGGAGGTGGAGGAAGAATGTAAACATTTCAGTTTAGACGACAGGGAAGTTCTTGTTATTTCAATCTTCATTTAACTCTGCTCCAGTTTAAAATTGTGGGGTGAAATAAAAACACAGCTCTGGTGTCAGTGGAAGAAGTTGGTCCCCTTTAACTCAAAACAGTATTTTACTCACTGAAACTTGATTTGAAGGTTTGACCATCACTGTGCAGAATGGTGAACGGAGCTGTGCAAACATAACAGGCTCTTTTTGCCCCTGATCATTGGTTTGTTTGTAAATCAGCAGGATTTTTTAAAGACTACTTAACATATTTCTGTGACACTTGAAAGTTTGGGACACGAGACAAGAAATAACTTTTAGTGTGCATCTGGATCCAGGAAATTCTTGTGAGTCTGTGAAATTAGTTGCTGATTCAAATAAAGATTCCAAATAAAAATCTGAATCTACAAACTTAAGATGTGGTTTCATAAGGGGGTACGTTTTTTTCAACCGATGTATGCTAACAAATAAGGTTAAAAAAACAATTACCACCAACTGATCTCTACATCACGGAGTCTGTTTATATAAAGACACAGAGGACACTGAGACATCCCGAGTCCACAGAGGGACCGAGGCAACTGGCCAAGGTGCTGAAAACAAACCAAACAAGTACCTTGAAAAAAATCTGTGTAACACTAAAAATGAGATACCAAAGCAGCTGTGGCTCAAAGCGTGTCAGTAGGTAGTAACCCCCACATTGCCCCCGACAGCTGAACCAGTGGTGTATGACTGATGTATGTTAGAGAAAGTGCTGAATGGGTGGATGGAAAAACTGTAGACTTGGGGAAAAAAAGCTTAATACACAATATATATGTTCATTTATGGTCGCTGCGTAAACTAGCCAATCAAACTGATTGCAGAGTGGAAAGGTTTTGTGAAAACGCACTGTGAGAAGCTCAGTGAACACGACAAAAAGAAAAATATCAAAACCTGGACAGAATTGGAAAACTGAGTGAAGTCATCAAGAGAATAATCAGTCCTGTTTATCTATTCATCTGATTTAGAAAAACATTTTATGAATCTTTCTAATAAACCACAGATTTTTTCTCAGACCTGAAGGAGAAAGTTAGCTCTCTCTAAAACAAAGCTGGATTCAGAATGACAGTCAATATATTTCTGAACATATCCACATATGTTTTATGTGTCAGCAACTGATCCTTTTCAGAAAAATCAAGGATTTAAAACTAATAATAGAGACGGACAATAATGCTCCAGTATGTACAACTCCAGGAAAGGCAGTTTCATAACTCCTCTTTAAAGAGAACAATAGTTGGAACAATTCTTTGTGCTGAGTGGTCGAACAGTCGCTGTGGCTCATCTCTACATTTCATTCTTATTCATGTATTCATTCACAGTTAAGTCGTAGCCTGATGTTTTATTCACCTATGTTTTTTGTCCTTACTCTTCGGAGATGAATGATGTATTCACTAGCGTGAATAGAACAAAGCACAACTAAAACACAGTTCATGTAACGTACCAAAATAGCCAATAATATACAACTAACAACACAACATTGTTTACTCTGTCTGCAGGGATTCTGTTGACCATGTTCTACAAACATCAACGCAGAGCTCAGATATTTGTGTTGTAATGTAAGCGTCTGAGCTGCAGGTGAACAGAGATGACATTAGATCCTTCTTTGGCCTTGTCTACATCACTGCAGATATTTTGTGCCCCATTCAAACTGCCTTTTTAATTTTTTTACAAATTATGTCCATAGAGACGAGAACACAGAAATCAGTTTTGAAACATTCAGTGACGCGAAGTTAAGACGAGAAACGCAAAGGAAAACTTCTGTTTTGCAAAAATATCTGCATTAGTGTGAAACAAGGTCTAAGCGGCTGGAACCCCTAAACCAGAGGTTCCAAAACTTTTCAGCACATGACCCCAAAGTAACTGTGGCAGTAATTAATAAGTGTGGTGCTGGAAACTGACCTGCTGTAGGTGATGCTGTCACATTGTTTAAAATTGTATTAAATTGTACTTGTTTTCTGGAAATCATCTCGCGACCTGAAATGTTGGAGCTACTGCTCTAAACTATGTGCAGAATAATGTGATTTATGGGACACATCCATTACCGTGAATTACCGTAGAGGTCATTACAGAAGCGTACCATCTGGTAAAGGCGTAGAAAGCTTGTTGGTTAGGCTACGTCGTTGCCCTCGATGCTTTCAGATGTGAACACAGAAGCTGCCCCTCCTCCCTGATGGAGGCAGTTATCAGTGTAATCTCAAAATAGCCGTAAAACCCAACAGATTGTAACTGATACAGGCTTTTCTCACTACGATGAAAACTGTGTTGTCAAAGCCTCTTCCCAACAGACTTAATAAAATAATCACCAGACTGATCCACTCTGATAAGGTCAGCTTTTTCCCACCAGATTCAAGAGAAATTGTTTTATTATCCTGCCTGAGCATCTTTGTGTTTGAGGTCTCAGTTTGGTTGGACAAAAAGAAGCAGCCTGGAGTTGTCCCAACTGTCTCACAAAATGAATATATGCTGTGAACATCAGTGTTGTACACAGAATACCTCTGTCTATGCCTCACGACACTCAGCACCTCTGTTCTACAAAGGGCCTTCTGTTTGCTTCCCTTTCATTCTGCCATGTAGAAAGTCTGCTAATATACAAAGGTCAAGGAGCTTTTCATGTTTTCCTCGACAGTCTTTATTGAATTCCTGTCATTTGTCCATAAAGCAGAGACATCACCAATCAAAGTGCAACATACCGGTCTGCTGGCTTATATTTGTATAGCAGAACAGATGCTATTGTTTCCATGGCTACAGGGACGTTTACAGCTAATCATCAGCTAACAATCAGTAAATTACCCAATTACCTTTTGGGAAGAATTTGTTTTTACTGCTTGAGAAAAAAACAACTTGATTATATATAGCCTTCTGTCCATGTGTTCATTTTGTACGAATTTGGGAACATCTTCTGAAAGGTTACGGATACGGATGAAACAGAGCAGTGCCACCAGAAGTCATAGGAGGCAGTGTAGCAACAGCTGAAGAGAGACGACCATAGCACAGTAGAAATTCAATGGTGATAAGAAAACTACAGACATCTTTGTGATTTTGTTAAGAGGGTCATTATCATAACCTCCCCCGCCATGTTCTTTGTTGTCAGAAACTCTCCTCTCTGCGCTGCCCTCTAGTGGATGTATTCCTTAACAACCGCAACTTAAAGGTCCAGTGTGTAAGATTTAGGAAAGAGTCCTTGTATTTAAATACTTTAAATTAACATCAGGAGTGGGTCCTCTCGAAGGAGGCAGCCATGTTTTTTACAATTGCCCATACTGGACAAACTAAACATCTTTTGAGTTATTCTGACAACTGAAGGCTACCACAGGTTATCTCTCATGTTTGGAAGGGGAGGGTGAGGTGAGGGGTGTTCAGCTGCAACACGAACCTTCACAGCTAGATGTCACTAAATTCTACACACTGAGCATTTAACACATGTCTGTAACAATGAAGAACACATTAGAGGCACGTGGGCTGTGACGGTCACATCGTTCAAAACTGATGTAATCTTTTTCATAAGCAGCATAAATCAGAATTAATCCTGTCGCTGACCAACCAACATGTTTCAACATACATGATCCTGCACAATGAATCAAACCCTAAGTGATGTCACTAGTGTGTTGTGTGTTGATGAAAATGAAGGTTAGTTATAATGGTACCAATCCCATCCTGAAAAGTATCTTTCTCATACATTAACACCATTTTCACTCAAATATATCACCTCAACAGTGGAGATGGAGGAGATGCTTAAACCACTGTCCCCACTTTACTGGTACTTCATAAAGTGTTGTATCATGCCATGGAGGCTTTGTTACTTTAGGTTCCCTCTCATTAATTACCTCCACTGTTGTGACCCCCACAGTTTAATTTGTCCCACTACAGTTTCACAATAAACCAGCAATACTCTAATTAGCCTTTTTGTTGTACTTTAGTTAATTGTTTAGAATGTGGCATGCAAGGGCTTCACCTCTTAAAAAACTCTGTATTGTGCGATGATGCTAGAAATTGTTAAATAATGAGATAACAAGCTTAAGGCATCTGCTCCTCCAGAGAACACAAAGTTGCAGCCTAGCTGATTTGAAGGGATAATTCAGAAAATTTAAATTGGAAAAAAGAAAGTTATTAAGAACGGAGCGTTTTGTCGGTTTTAATATTCCAATAAATTATCCAGATGATTTGAATCATTAAGAGAGTAGGCCATTTGCAGCACGCTAATCAATTTTGATTGCAACCTGCAGTTTTCAATTTATTAACCTGATCGCTTTGGCTATTGTATGAGTCATGGATCATTGGTTGCGGCAGCAAATCATATCCTGAATCACAATTGTAAGGAGAAAAAAAAGTGAACAAGAGAAAGTGAAAAACAAAAAGCTTGGAGAGTTTTTATATAAGGTCTATGGAGGAGACACGTGCAAACATGAGTCAGAGCCATTCCAAGGGCAGGTAGAAGTCGGGTGGAGAAAAAGATAGATAAGGGCAGGCAGTGGAAATGACAGAGAGGGGGCGGCTGGAGGTCCAGGGTCAACTATAGTATTGATATAGTACGTTTGTGTGGTTGGAATAACCACTGTGCTCCTGTGGTGGAGCGACAAAACAGTGGAAACACTTCACACATTAAAAATATGTTATTAGAACATTTCCTATCCTCTCATCATGACCTTGTTTTCACAATATCCTACCTTGTGTAAGTTGACGGTGTAAGGTGCAGGGTCCCAGGCCACCAGAGTCACGTTCTTGTAGATGGAGCTTGTGTTGAATCGATGCTTCGGATTGGCCAGAATCTGTAAAGGCATATGTGATGTGAAAAATTCAACTGAAACAGAATCTCCTCACAACAAACAGTTCAACAATCTGGTAAGAGTCACGGAAAAAGACTAGAACCAAAAGGTTTTCTCATCATTTACCATCAGATCCGTAACCAACCAGTGTTTCAGTGGCCCTGCACCCATTAAGGACAAATTTATATGCATCACACAAGGTTGGACTCCCACTCACCTGCGAGTTGATGATGCGAATGGTGGTTTTGTTCCCCACATCTCTCTCGTATCCGTCTGTAGGTGCAGCATTGAACCGTAACACTGCGTCGTGAGTGTCTGAAATGCAAAACACAGACCACGGGCGCCTGAAGCAGGTTTTGAACTGACCTTGGGTTTTACAGCATACAGAATAGAACTGCCACGGTATTGTGCAATAAAATAAAAGCAAAATACATTTGTCACTCTTAACATGTTTGATATTGAGGTTTGAGTCCTTGTGCTGTTGCGATAAATGCAGCCCAGTCAAACCTTTTATATGTAAATCAAATGTTCCGCAGCAGCCAGAGTTCTTGAGGATCCTGATGGAGGCGTCGCCGTCTTTTAAAGGTGCTGCTTAGTCTGATCATTTTCAAGGCAACATCATATTATAGGTGCACTGTGGCTCACTCTCAACTCTGCATACGGTTTGTTCTCAAACAAGATTTTGTAGTGGTGTCTGAATGTTTAGTGAAGTTTATATAGTGCACTCATTGTTTCCCGAAATGCATCATGAAAAGCATAGCAGCTGCACAACCGAGCAATATATACCATCATGCATCGCGAGCTCGAGGACACTGCACGCAGATGTTTCCGTCATTTTCGGTAGTGACAGCTGAGACTGACTCACGATGTGTCGAGCGTTTGAATCTGCGTGGCCTCGTTCGTGCAGCTCTATCCCCTGATGGCCACTGCACAGACTGTGGCTCCAAATGCACAAGATGCAGCGTTTGAATGCGGAAATCAAATATTTACTTCAAATATTTTATTTCTTTAATGTCCAGTCAAAGTAACTGTATTTTACGCCGACATGTTGTCTGTCTTGCTCTCATGTCCTTCACAGTTCGAACTCGTCAGCTTGACGGATGGTCGTAGTAATAATTACGAACTTGTAATTTCTACCAGTCTGTTGGTCAATCCTTCAGTTCCATCGACCCTCTGTTCCTCATTGATCCGACACCAGAATGGATGATGCTCCAGGTGTCACTGACACCAGTCGGCTGTTAGAGGATCGTTTGACATTCACTACAACACTGTGGACTGACAACACTCAGGAAACATGCGCTCATGAGCTTGACATTGACTTTGCCCTCCTGGTTCCAGGGCGATGCAGTAAACATGTCTGCTCCCTGACGACCACACTAATGGATTTTCAAATTTTCTCAAAAGCAAAGCTTGTTTGTGAACATGCAGCTGAAATGTTCACAAATTGCACAATGGACATGTGTCGCCATTGAGGGACAAACAAAGGATTATCTTATTTTAGGATAATTTTGTATTTAAGACAAATAGAGTAATTTGTATGAGCAGGGATGAAGAAAACAGAAGCTTTTCCAGGACCAGGTATATTTTACTTTTTCTGTTTTCTTATTAATTAAATTTTTTTCATTTGCTTTTTATTTTTTTATATGTTTTATTGTATTCTCTTTTATTTCTTCTTTTTATTATACTCCATTTCTTCTGTATTTATGATCATTTTATTTCTTTCATTCAACTATTTTCACAATCATTCAATTCAATTTTATAATTTCTAGTTTGCATATATTTTTGTTCGTCTGTTTTACACACGCATTTCCAATTGTTTATTATCAGCCTACAATTGCTTCACATAATTACACATTTTTATCTGATGAAGCACTGAGAGAAACACGCTTCATAAAATATCCTCACATGTATGTTTATCAATCAGCGGAGACTGCAGACATATTTTATATATACTGGTTTATCCATGTTATTAAATTATATTCTGAAAGTGGGGAATAGATAATTTGTGAGATTTCCGTTTCACTGCTGATGGAAACCCTGCGTTTCTTCATGTCGGTAAAATCTGCTAAAATTCTGCTTGGTTCACACCAGGCAATGACATCCAGCCTTACAGACGTATTCATGCCAATGAATATTTTTCTATAGTCAGTCATTGTAAGACTCGTCTGCCTTTGAACCTCTAAAAATAAAGTGATGCTTCACTTAAGATTCCATTTTTCAGGTGGTGTACTGGCAAAAAGACTTTTTGTATTTTCTTTTATTCTGTCTCAGATGAGCCCTCCAGGTTTAATCTGCCAAAAGCTTCAACTGAAAGAGAAATGTTAAAAATACAACCTGAGTAAAAATAGTGAAAAGTGAGAACTTCATCACAACAGAATAAAATGATGTGACTCAAAGCTCTTAAACTGGTCTGCAGTAAGTGCAGTAATTGTTTCGAAAATGAAGTCTCAAAACATTTTTCATTACAGATAAAAATTTCACAACTTTTTCACTTTGAAAGAAAATGATTTGTTTTCTTGCATCTCGTGGCAATTTCCCCTGGGGATGTATTGAATTATCGGTCTGGCTGTGGCTCAGGAGGGTAAAAGGGAATCATCACTGACAAGAAGGTCGGAGGTTCGATCTCTGGTTTGCATTTCTAAATATCCCTTGACAAGACATTAAACTGTGAATTGCCTCTGGCTATGCTGACAGTGTATGAATGGTTAATGAGAGTAAAAGACCTGTAACACTGTATGAATGTGTGAAAGTTAAGGGATAAGACTGGGACATCTCTATTTAAATACAGTCCACTTACTATTACATTTACAAGTTTATCTGAACAATCCACTAAAATCAAACTGCAGAAAATTTAAGAAGTTTAATAAAACCGTCATGTTCTGACATTTGCCGTTTCTGACATGACAGAACTCACAAAGCTCATTTCAGAGATCTCCACTCAGGAGCTTGTTTCTCTTGTCTTTTGTATTTATGACGTGCACCAAGAGATGCAGAAATTCTGCTGACTTTGCATTTTTGACAGATCAGCGTGTTTTAAAAGCTGCAAGTTCTTAATATTAATGGCTTTCTCCAGCTGTGAGTGGCCCGTGTGAGGGAGCACGCATCATTCATTCTCTGAGAGGGAGATTTATTTATTTATCAGGGTCAATCACATTCAACCTGCATGAGCCCACTGCTGCTCTGCTGATGTTAAAGTACATATACACATTATAAATACATTTCACAGTTCTCGTGACTGAGATGCAGAATGTTTCAACACTCTGGGGCTTGTTAATGACGTGAAATATCAAATAAGGTCATGTTGATTGTTTGACCTCTCATACAGTTGATGTAGCTGCTAGGTTCGCTGGCAATACCTAAAAGTAGTGTAGCCTGCCTCCCTTTTACTACATCAACTGTGCCGACTGTATTTTTGGTTTTATGCAATAATGGGCGTACACTGACATATTGATAAAGAACGCTGCAGATGATGTTACTGAAATCGCGATATCATATTAATTGCAAAATACAACATGAACATGTATTGCAAGGCTTTGTATAAATGTAGTGAAGTAGAAAGTACAGATATTTGTGTAGTGGAGTAAAAGTGAAAATCAACTGTAAATAAATTTGCTTGATTAAAGTACAGAAACATGGAAATGTAAAGTATTTAAGTAAATTTACTTTTTATGTCCGTGTGAATGTGAATTTCCCGGTCAGACGAAAATAAACCTCAGTCGATGTCTGAGACTAAACGACGTGATGAATGTTCGGTCACGTTTCGTCCAAGTCAGAAGGATCGTTCAGAAATTTGAATCCTTTTGTCACTTGTTAATAAATTTGGTTTGACCTCACCTATAATATAATTCACAGCGCTGGTATCAATCATGACTCCAGTTATTACTGTATCATATCTCTACCCCGGCCTCCTTTCACTGGCTTCATGTCAAGTCATAAATTCACATGATGTCAGGTTATAAATTCCCATAATGCACTCACACTGAAGGTATTAAATGACCTTGGTCCAATACCATCACTGACCCGTTAACCTGTTCTGTGCCGGAGAGTCACCAACAATCTCTTGTTGAAACATTTTCTATGTTTTCTGGTTTTATACTTTTATCTTTTCCACTTCATCTTTTTAATTTTCTCATATTTAATTTACTTTGTTTCATTAACCTTGAAAACTGCTATATGAACAAACTATCATCACTGAGAAATCAAGTCAATTAAAAATAATAAATTAATATAGTAACAGAACTGCACAACAATGTTGATAAAGGAGTAATTATTATGAGGTCATTCATCAGGCAACTAATTAATACCTGCAGGTTTCATCCTCTCAGATGTTGATTTTTACAGACATTACATCATAAAAGGAAAATCTCTTTAGGTTATTGTTTGAACGAAGAAAAACTATTTCAACCTGCTGCACTTTTCAGTTTTTCACATCTTACAAATTAAAACAAGTCAAAACTTATTGATTGTTAGATGTCGTAGTAGAAGTTCAGGCACAAAGTTCTGTCTGTAGACAACCATTTCAGACTGAAGGTGAACAATAGGATGCCACAGTGACAAACTGATACAAAATTACCAAAAATATATATAAAAATAATTTTAAATCTGATTATTGTTTATTGAAACCCTGAGTTGACTTTTTATTGATGATAGTTTTGGTCAAATTATTATAATTTCATTATGAAACCAGAGAAAATTAGTGCATTCAAATTGAATTTATTCATTTCTGTGTCCCAGGTCACATCCTTTTTTTAATATGTCCACAGGAGGGCACTAAGTCAACAGACACAAAATGGTTACATTCGTTCTGCTATCGGCCATAATGAGCCAACGTTTACAGAAAACACGAACAAAGACAAGAGTCGGTGGCTTCACACACAGAGACTGAGGGATTCTTACTCATCACAAACCAGGACTGTACATTCCCAGATATAACAATCAGCCCAAAGATCTACTATCCACTTCAGCATTAATACCATCTTTAACATTTGTTGCAGGACATTCAACAGAATTGTCTATTTTCTCAGTTGCTTGTTGTACTGAAGCTGCTGATCAGTCTCTTCACCACATGATGGCAGCGACACATCACCACACATCCAGAAACTAAAACGCTCGTTCCGCACGGTGAACTCAGAGCTGCAGCTGCTGAGAAACCCTGTAATCTAAATGTCAGCCAACCTGCGACTGGCAGAGAAAAGAGGGGGTATGAATCTCTCACTGGCACATTGAGGTGAATTCGTGGCCTCTTCACAGCTGCATCACGTGGGTGTGGTTTGTGTTGGAGCGTGTGGGGAAGGACAGCGGCTTGTAGACGGATCAATGCACTTTGATTTCCTGTTCAAGCCGAGACTGAGAATTAATGTGACAAAGTCGAGCTCTGAGGCGACGTAATGATTAAATCCACTTTGTTGCATTTGTCTCATTCATCAAGTCGCAAGTCTCTGAAGTGTCCTCAAGAAAAGTCTTTGTTAAGGACTGAACAACACGAGGACACTGACCCAACAACACCCTGCTCCTGTTTGACCTCTAGACAAATGTGACGGCCCCCAGAGAGGAGAGGGTCACAAGTAATATTTCAGTGTTCTCATTTTGAGTCTGAAGCCTCTTTATAGTCTAATGCAGACATTCACTTTCTGTGTTTACGAGCATGCTGGTCTTATATGACTGGACAGAAACCAAAAACAAAGATGGAGGAGGATGATACATCAGCACAGTTTAAATACAAGGTCTGGTTATGTTACATCTGCGTTTGTTTGTCAGCAGGATTTCTTATAAACTACTGAACTGATTCTATGCATTCAATTTTGGCATCAGGGGGCAGATCCAGGGTTTTTTTTTTCTATCTACTATTGTGAGAGTGCAGTTTTTTCCACATTTTCATTGATTTCTCATAAATGATTTTTGGATCTTGATGAAAAAAACATGGTTTCATAAGGGGACTGTTTGGGTTCTTTCTGTGATTCTCAGTCAAATGTTCTTCTTACTCCAGTGTTAAAAACACAAATAGCCAAATGTTTAATTTAATAAGTCAAACAACAAACTCTCCTGGTGGGAATTCATGTGACGTTGCAGCAAACACACAAAAGTAGAACATTTCTTGCAGCGAGTGAACGGATCAGTGTGTTTTCATTGACACAGAACCAGATGTTCATTCCACTGCAGGTGTGGAAGTTAAGAGTTACCGTTACTCTTCTTACCATGACAAAGTTTGGTTTCTTTTGTACTTTCTGGAGTATTTTTGAAAGCAGGTAGTTTCACTCCTTAGTTTGAAAGTCCCATAATGAATTTATCATTAACCATTATAACGCACAACAAATAGAGAGAAACAACGCTGCTGATTCGATGTACAACGCGACGGCTGAGTCCCAAATCAAACACACCCACCGTGTTATTTGAACAACAGGTACATGCTGGTTATGGCAAAAACCAAATACTCAATATAAATAAGTACTAAATACAGAGGGAGAATTCTTCAGTTGGAAAATGTAGGTTCACTTCAACCGCAAGTGAAACGTGCACCAGCTTTCTGCTGTTTTTAATAACCCCTAAAGAATCTAGGAAACCGTCCGTATTAGTTCTAATGTTTGTTCAGAGCAGCTGAATTCATAAGCAAGTCGAAGGCAGCTATATGTGATGTGAAGACGCCATATCGCCTACCAGAGGGGTTTCTGCTTTCTTCTAGTGAGCCATCTGTCACCGAGTTCACACTCTCCCTGCTAACCAGAGAGCTGCCAAAGTCTCTAAACCAAGCGCACGCACACATTCGAACACAGACATATAGCCCACTAGGCACACACACTCAACCCAGCTTACACTCTGCGTGACAAGTTAATCAGCAAACGACATGAAAAAAAAAAGAAAAGCCAACGCAGTGGAATACAAATCACTTCAGGTGCAGAGAGAAATGTGTTCAACTTCAAAATCCTCTGTGCTTGAATGTTTAAGATCAAGACTACATTTTTATATTTGGACCAAAATGAACTAGCTGATCCATATTTACAGGATTTCGATACGACTTGTATGAACTGCTTCCAGGAAACAGCTTCACGGTCACACTCTGATGTTCACCACTGACAAAAGCTTTCTCCTTCCTGCTTTTCAGCTTTTCTATGTAAACAAACTAACAGCCAGTCTTAAAGATGCATGTTTATAAAGATAGATGGATTTAAAAACTCACTTGAAGCCTGTGTGACAAAGTCGAGCATGTAGGGACTGAGGGACACAGATATTTCCCTCTGGGTTTTAGCTGTGTGCAACCACTGCTGAGACCAAAACAAACCTGTTTATTATTTTATATATTTATCTAGATCTTTAACTGAATTCACATCCTTACGACTGAGTATTGGGGTAAAAAAAAAATTGAGATTTTAAGAAAAAATAATAATAAAACTATAGTATTATTGAGTATTATAAAGTCATAATAAATGAGAATTAAAGTCATAATATTACAATAATAACATAGTAATTTAAAAAGGTCATGATATAATGGGAATAACATAATTTAACAAGGAAAATTATAAAATTACTAATTTTAACACAGGCAACAGGCTGATTTACTGAAATACTACGACTTTATTTTTGCAATGCAACAATTTTTTTCTAGTAAATTTCTGACATTCTTACAATATTAGGACTTTATTCACATTATATAACAACTTTATTCTCCCAAATGTATGACTTTATTCTTGTAATACAAGGACTTTATTCTTACATTTTGTTTCCTCTCTGTGGCCCTAACATTCCGTCTTACATCCCAGTGACAGTGTTCAACTGATTAACGTCCTCCAGGCTACGACTGTTTCACTTGAACTCTAGCGTCTGCTCATGTTGGTGTCACCGTCTATAGGGAGGACTGTAAATGTAACACTTGCGGTAATCTACCACCCCCACAGACCAGCTGGCTCTTTTTTTTTTTAAGAGTTCCCTGAATTTTTTATCCCCTTCAGAAAACACACTCTGCAATATTTCTGGTGTAAAAATCCATAGTTGGCCTGAGGACCACGTCTTATCTGAGGAAACATTAGCTTTGCATATTTTGCTATCATCAGCAAACACTCAGCTCCTTGCTGCTTCCTGAATTTCATATCAACCCGCCATTCTACATCCCTGTGAAGTCCCCTGACCCCGGTGAGCTCACTCTCCACATGATGGCCTGGCTGATTTGAAAAGCAGGATGTTTGTACATTTCCATCTGCTCAACCTGGGCTCCTGCATATCAACACCGATCGCAACTATTTCCCCCGTTGAAAATTTTACTTAGAAATGAGATTATATTTAATAACCACTTTGACAGTTTTTCTTCCATGAAAAAAAGACTAATAATCAGTTTTAAATTCAATTAAGTGTAAACTTTACTCACACATTTATATTGAGACAACTATTCTGGTATTAACCCAATTGGGTTTGAGTGTAAACAGATAGCATGACATGTTGACATGTTGTTGACATGTTGTTGACATGTTGTTGTTCATGTAAATATAGTCAATGTTTTCTCATTTTATCTCTGGCGTTGTTTGTTCCGTGTTAAGCACTTTGTAACATCGTTAAGTAAGGTGCTATATGAATAAAGTGTATTATTTCTATTGTTAAAGCTCTTGAGAAAAAATATTTTATGTGTAAAATCTTTGTTTTTCAGACACCAGCTTTCTACTTGCATTTCACTGATCTATGTGACAAGTGTACATGGATGATAGCTCATTATGTAAAAGGCAAATTGAAATGTAATCCGCTAATTAATGCTCCTCTTTTAAATTCATAGACCACATGGTATTTTCAGCATTCAGGACATTCAGCAAAAAGTATATTTTGAAGTCGGTATAACGTGAGAGAACATTTCCACCTCAAGGGGAAGAGTACTTTCTGTAGAAGGGCTTTTAATTTTTAATGAAGTCCAAGGTCTGTGTGCAGCCTTTCAACTTTTATCTTCTTTTAAAGTCTTCAGTCTTGCCTGTCATCACATCTCTTCATCTGTCGACTGTAGGGCCGTGTATTCTGGACGATGTTTAAGTCTCAGTCAGGATACAAAATTTATTTTTTTACTTTACTTTGAAGAATATAAAACATGTTCTACTTCAAACTCCCTTTTATCGATTTCACCAACGAGACCAGACTTCTCAATTGTTAAATGTTGCCAACACACAAGATGAATTTTGTACAGATAAATTTAAAGAAATGATGAAAGAAAGAGAAAATGATGAAATGTATGAATGAAATCAGAAATGCTCTTAGTGAACTGCTTTCTCTCCTCAGAGCTTTAAATGTCACCCTTACTCAGACTCTTTAAAATGTCTAGTACTCACCGATCTCTTTGCCCAGTCCCGAGCGCAGGATGGCACCGGCCGACGTGACCACGGCGCAGGTCTTGAAGCTGCTCTGCTCCTGCTGCTTGTACAGTTGTTCCAGCGGCAGAGACGGCACAAGACGAGCCCAGCCGAGCGAGGAGAAGGGCTGCTCTGACCCGTCCACCGTCCTCAGCCGTGCCTGAGCTTTCATTTGACACAGCAGTTCCTTAGCACTCTGGACAGCCTTGCGATGGCCCTTGTAGGAAACGTGGTGTTTGTTGGCGCTCACGTAGTCTTTCATGGCGCGCTGCAGCCGAGGACTCAGCATGCCGGCGGACACATGGCCGCGCCACAGCCGCTGCACCACCGATGCCGATTTGGAGAAGTAATATTCCTCCAGATCAGAGGAGTCGCCACCGGCCCTCCTGTCTGCTCTCCCTCTAATTCTGTTTCCCGGTTCTTCATCTTCGTTCTCCCTCGCATTGTCCTCCTCTTCCTCCTCACCACCACGGTGACGTGTGGCTCTAATATGGTTCTGATACTCTTTGAGCTGAGATGTTCTCTCACGACTCACGACTGCAGGGTCTGAGTGAGAGCCCACATTCTCCGTACCAAAGGATGACCAGGCAGCCAGGCTCTGGGGGTCCAGGTAATCCTGGCGGCTGGCTTCCTGGCTGCCATAGACGGCATAGGGAGCACTGTTGGGGCTGCGGCTCGCCTCCAGACTGGACTCTGGGGTCATGGAGCTGGCCGAAGGCTCTGGCTCGTCTCCAGGGTAAGTTGTAGTTAACGTCAAAGCCAGTTCAGGTCGGGAGCCTATAACGGCGTGCTGTTGATGGGAAGCCTGTATGGAGGCCAGGCGACGTGTGTCAGGGTGCTGGGAGAGTAAGGAGCCAGCAGAGGTCAGGGGCTCATCCACACGAGCATCCAGGAAGTAAGAGAGGAGGGCGAGGAAGAGGAGAACCCAGGCCAGCATTCCCACCAGCACTAGCCTCCGCCACTGCCTCATACTGGACTTCATTACCTCTCACTCACATACACGCCTGTTCAGCTGGCCCACCACCAACAAAGCCCCACAGCCAGGGCTCAGCCCAGAAGTCAGCCGGAGGGCCTGGAACAACAAAAAAAGAAGAAGAAAAGCTCTGAATGCGACAGCTCAGGGGATGAAGACAAAATATGGATCATTGCAGCAACGGTTTGAAAGACTCACCTGAACTGATGCTTTTATTTCTTCATGTCCATGTGCCCACAAGGATATAACAGGACCCTGAGAAGAGGAGTTTTAGAAATTAGTCAGGTCAAGAGTGCAGACAGACGAATGAAGCTGTGTGAGCATGAAAACACACTTCCCACATAGACACATCACAGGAAAACCCATCTGCAGGGCAGAATTTAGCTGCATATATATACTGTATTACATTTTCATTTTTTGGACTTTGCATGAAGATAAGTGATAAATAAAAGTATTTGAAGTAATATTTTTGAAAATATCTATGCTTTACTTTTTTAGTGCCTATATTGTTTGCAAAGCACAGTATTATTATCTACTTATAAATAGAGGCATTTGTGCCCCAGCTTGTTTTTCAATTTACTTAGTACAGTTCGTTGAGGAACGAAATTGCCAAAGTTAAAAATAAATTAAGAAGTAAACAATGGCTCAGTGGAGCGCAAACCTCCGCCACGGCCCAGCAGTCCCCTCGGATTCAATCAAACTGCAGTAAACAGTCATATACATCAGTTACCGTAATGTGCCTGATGTGTTTTCCCTGGGAAATATGCCCTATCCTCAAATGTTGAAGAAAGAGAAGATTCCTGGATCTGCCTCCTGATACTGGTCTGCACCAAAGTTAAAGAACTTGACCAAAGCCACATCCCTTTACCAAGTTTTGTGAAAAACCATTTGGCTGTTTTCATGTAATCTTATAACAAACAATCCAACCAACCAACCAACAAACAGACGGAGGTGAAAACATAACCTCCTTGGCACAGGTAATAAATGACTCAAAAAAACTTAAACAGATCTTTTTCAAACCATTTTAATTTTTTCATTTGTTTATATATGTTTAAGTATTTTTTTCTTAATTTTTTTCTAATTCTCTAATCTCCATACCAGTTCTACTTGGCCGTCACCACAACAACAACACTGCTCCACTGAGTCGCACCGAGGAGCTCAATGGAGTTGCTTATTGCTGCTGTGGCACAATAATTAGGACAACATTTTAACACCATCAAATCATTATCACTCTGACTTGTTTTTTTCCTGCAGCTTTGATAATAATCCAGTGCACAACACGTCAGGTTCACTGACATCTTCCAGAGTGAAATACACAGCAATCAAGGTGAATAAATGAAGCATTAAATAGCCTCACATTAGAGGAATAAAACCCTCTCATCCACGTGTAATTATGAGTTTCAGTCTCTTAACATGAAAGATTTTCTCCTGAGAGTGGAGGTAGGAAGAAAATAAATCAATGCAGAGTGTTAAACCTCTTTCAGTCCTAATCACAGCTTCCTGTGTGTGTAGCTGCCGAGTCCTGCAGAGAGCAGCACAGGTGATCTCAGACGCCCTTCGCTGTCCCCCCTTCTCCATGTAAACTTAAAACGCCCAAGCCTCTCTCTCCCCGGGGCCACACAGGAGGCCAAAGCTCATCCACTGACCCTGGTCAAGGAGGAGGAGAACAGCAGGGGGCAACTGGGCCAGAGGGAGCAGAGACACACACATCTGCACAAACACACATCTGATTACTTTGTGTAAACGTGCGGCATGTTCTGGCCTCAGGGCTGAGAGGTGGGATGGGTGTTAGACAGTAATCGCCGGGTAGCAGTTTCGACATGTCTACCACACTGAGGTCAAATGTTACTTTGTGGAAAATATGCCATTTAACACCTGGAAATAACAACAGCATGTCCGACACACACCCATACAAATCTATATAAAATATGTGTACACACATGCACCTGTGTTCTTTGTGGTTTCCCTTTAAACTCATGAACAAAATCAAAGACAATGACCAGGAAAACACAATGTTATCAAAAAGCAAATGACATCTATATGCACCACAGTAGCCCACTGCAGCATGTGTGTGTGTGTGTGTGTGTGTGTGTGTGTGTGTGTGTGTGTGTGCCCTGAGGCATGTCGTGTGTGTGTGCGCGCGCACTTAGCTTGCCTCACCTGGCAGCAATCAGGATGTGTGCTTCAGTAACTGCAACTGAACAACATAAATGTGTGGCACAGATGGAGAGGCGGGGGTGGAGGACAGACACAGGCTTGTGAGGTTCTACATGCACAATGAAAACGGTAAAAGAAAGGAAACATAGAAACGTCGCGCCTGCCAGACAGCGAAGGACGACCAAACGACTTAGTGGGCAGTAGACGGTGTTGAACAAAAAGGAGCCCGACAGCATGAAAAGCACGGGCCTTTTTAAGAGCAAAAATGTGAGTGAATATGTGAAAATGAGAGAATGTTTACGTTCCATTATCTAAAAAAAAGAAGCAAATCTCATTATAAGCTGTTGCTGTAGGGAGCATTTGGCTTTTTTGCTGTAAAAATCCATCGATGAACTACACTGATCAATCAACATTTAATTCTGGTGACCATAGAATAAAACATTTGTAGCATTCAGCTTCTGATTGCAATGATTGGTCTGTTTCTAATGGCAGCAGCTACATCCCCCGCACCCCACAGCAAGATTAGTGAGGCAATATGAAAGTAATGATCTGAATCATAGTGATGCCAATTTAGTTTTAGTGAAGACTAGCATGTTTTTGTTCCTGCTGTGACGTCCTCAGTGAACTGACTGAACTTGACTCATCTCAAGTGATTTGGCAAGTCCAGTAATTATTGACCTATCAGGCAAAGAGTTCAGTTCAGAGCTCGATCATCTTTGACAGTTAATACACCAGGAACCAGATTTTGGCTCGTTCTCTGGTCCACTTACATTCCAGCAAAATTGAATCGGTGTGTTTCCGCCTGTCCTCGTTCTGCTTCTGCAGTGAGCTGAGCGTGGGGGCGTGACCCACAGTTCCTGCTCCTCCCCACCAATCACCCCACACACCTGATCCTCATCACGACCTCTGGTTGCCGATCCTCATCGTGTTGTGCCGCAGTCAAAGCTCGTAAGTTTTCTGTCGTTCGGAGCATTCATGTTTTTGTTCGTATTTTGTGGCTCCCTCAGCCACACTGTTCTCCAGACTGACCACGTTTATACGGACACTAAAAATCCATATCAACCCAATTAAAACACAAAATAAAATCACAATGAGACATTGCACTGTTTATATGTAGGAAATGGTGAGGTACATATGGAGCGGTGGTGCAGGAGGTGCATGTGTGAACGCAAATGTCCGAGTGAGTCTGTGATGAGGCAGGAGAATCCGATGTGTGAACACAGCAGGAGATCCCCACTGGAATCACAGCAGGTGAGTCGGCGTTGATGACCCTTCTAACATACAAGAGATGCAAACATGAAGAAAACAACTTTTGTTCTCATTCTACATTTCGATTTAGTCTACCTGTGCCAATATAAGGTGGCAGGACAATGTTAGAAATACCTCACAGTGTAACGTACGAGGGAGTACTAGCGATACTTAGGGGAAATGTTCTGAGATTTCGAGAACAAGAATAAGGTAATGAATAAAGCAGCCTGTCGTATGCGGTCAATATTTAATCATTAACTTAATTCATCTTATCTATAGAGATGAACATATTCCAAGTGCAGATTAAGTTAATATTACTTTCTTGAAACAAAAGGAACATGATGAATATGACACCGGATGTCAGCCATCCACTGCAAAAACAACCACAATAGAACCAGAAAAAGAGGAAACTACAGAGAGTATATTAATAGATATTTTCTCTTTTGATAAACCACATTCCTTGAGACCCAGCATGCCCTGCTGCTGTAATATTCTCATTGTGTCTACAGTACAGGCATTGCCGGAGGTGACTGTACTGATCTCTCACTATTTCACTGCCAGGTAAATGCTGCCAGCCGTCAATAGAGAACAGCTGCACAGCACCCCTTTGAAAATGGTTTAGTCCACTTTACCACTTAGTGCTGAGGAACCAGGGTCGAGGGGATCTTGAAAAATATTCTCAATTAAGCGAACAGAGGAGTCTGTAGGAAAAAAGATTCTTGATTGTGGTGTTGGAAAGTGAGATCACAAGAATTTTGCAGAACTAAAATGTAGAGGTTAGCTCACTGGAACATGTTCTCCATGCATCCCTCTTTTTAAGCAGAAAATAGACGTCAATTACAATAAGTGGGTAGAGTCTGATTATGTTAATAGAGATTAAAGGGAACCTTTTATGCCGATTTCCAGCTCTATATTTTCATTCTGGGGCTCCACTTGAGTCACTCTGCATGATTTACAGCCCTTGTTTATCTCAAACTGCCTGTTTAAACAGCCTGGCAGTTGAGCCTCGTACTGAAGACCTCCTAAAAACCCATGTTCTTCTGTCTGAACATAATGATGTTACAGTAGCAGCCAAATTAACCAAATAAAGGTGACGTCAGATGCACGCCTGTCTACAAACCCATCAACAACGAGTATATGTAGACTCAGACCATGTGGGTGATGATGACTAGATGTTTATGTCATAATTGCAATGTGAAAATCAAAACTAATCAGATCAAATGTAAGCCATCTAACAAACACATGAACCTTGGGTCGGACTTTCATGTGTGAAAATGATTGCATTGTAAACACGCCTGGTCAACATATATAGGAAAACACAGATGCCTTTACTTATATCTGTGATAAGCCAATGTTGGCTGATAGAAATCAGCCAGGCAATACATCAGTCAGGCTCTATTTTAGATCACTGAATTCATTTGTGAACTTCCAGGCCAAGTCTCCCGGGATCATGAGAGGAGAACATGGTATAATTTCACATGCAGCACAAGCTCCATGTATAAGGAGAGTTTCCATGAGGTCTAACATGAGGGGTCACAATTAGAAACAGGATGTGGTTTGAAACAGAGGTGGGTGCTGCGTTGGTGTTTGTATTTTCACAACTGGGGCCCAGAGTTATTTATGAGCTTTAGCTTGGGCTAAGTGCTTTTTATGGGTGAACACCACTGTTGTGCCTGTTAACCTCCAAAGTTAACATTGTTGGAATTGGGAGTGGCTGCATCTAAAGATTAATGAAAATCTGCTCACACATACTGACTCACAAACACAGAAGTAACACACAATCCCCAAATATAGGCCTAACTTTATCTGAAAGGTTTTATTTGAGCAGCCTTGAGAAAACAACTGCAGTA